CGACCTCAGCCCCATCCTCGTCGCTCTCCTCCACCGTCCTCGTCGCCGTCCTCCTCCTCCTCCTCCTCATCATCATCCTGATTCTCCCTTCTTGTCCTCGTGTTTTCGTCCTCGTCGTCCTCATCCTTCCCACCCTTCGACTGCTCCTCGTCCTTGTCCAGGGGACGAGTTGGGGGAAGGCGAGGAGAAGACTTTCATGAATCAGGATGCAATGCGCGAGCGTCTGACATGAAGCTTGCTCCATCAACTCCACCACTTGGTTCTGGCCGCACTCCTCATCCTCTGCTTCTCCGGATAATGTGTAGCCAGTTCAACTCCGGCATCCACAGAGCCACGTTGGCCCAGGTGGGCTTGCACCATCGAGCTCCAGAGCGGCGGGGTCCCGGAGCATCATTGCATCCAGCCTCTCAAGCTTTCAAGTTTTGCGTATCAATATTGACGGATGTTCTCCCTCTCTCACGGAAAGGCACAATCTCGGATGGAACCGCCGTGTGAGCAACAGGCCGGCACTGACAACTGCCCGTGGCGTCGGGGCCGTCCCGTCCAGCGTGTGGTTTTAATGTATGGAAGTGCACTTCGAGTGGGTGCGCGCCCAACAGGATGTCCTGCTCTTGGTCCTAGCATTGCGCCGCTCCGTGTTCTTGGCCTGCTCCTTTTGTTCCCTCCTGGCAGGCCTGTGAGTGGGTTCAAGGATCATCACACGGCGGTTTCCGCGCTGCTCTCGCTCCTGGAGCTCCAGGCTCCAAAGGTGGCGGGGAGGGCAAGGGCAGCGAGGGCAAAGGAGGGGGCTGGTGGGTGGGCCTACTTCCTCATACAGCGACCTTTAGTCTCAAATGGACAATGCCGCGGCCACACCGACTGCGAGCCCTGTTCAAAATGGACAGAGACGTTGTTGGTATTCGTACCCATTCTTCCCGTACCCGATTCGATCATGCAGATCCTCGCCCAGGGTGTGCGAGGCGGGCTGGCAGTTCTCTCCAATCTCCAGGCTGTCGGGTGGGGAGCAAGCGCGGCAGCCTTCGGAGGCAACTCCTGGGAGGCTTCCGATAGAACGATAAAGAGCGATCCAGCCAGATTAAGATTCCACTTCGCCGGGTCAGGCCGGATTAAGCCCACGATGAAGCCGAATTGAGCCGGTTAAACGAAATGAAGCCAAGCGGGGCCGGAGTGGCCCAGATGAAGCCGGAGGCTCGACCACGAACATACCAGCGCCGATACAGAATCGAACCTCCCAGACGTTGCATCCCAAGGAGTGAGAGCTCGAAAATGGGTGGCAAGCCTAGGGGGAAGTGGGAAGGCGCGGGCCTTCTCAAGGCTCGAAAGGCCTCGGGCCTTCTGAACAGTTTTCTGAAAGGAAACGAACTCTATACACGAAGGCGTTTTCCGGCCCTGGTCTGAAACTTGCATTGGAAAGCAGATCTTGGTGTATACGGGATCCTGGTGTCTACATGTTTCGTTCTCTCCCTGCGAAAGCGGGGGAAAAAGTATACACCACACCATCACGACGTCGCCCCCGACCCTCAAGAAGTCCTGGGATTGACAAAAAGGCCCGCCACTGGGAATGTACATGCTCCAATTTCCGAGGTTTTCTTCTCGGGCAACCTCTCAGATGCTTTGACGGCAGGGCCCCTTCCAGCACGGGGTGGACCAACAAATACCGTACCGCCGCCGCTGCTCCCCAGCCTCCCGGGGCGCGTTCTACGACCAGCACTCCGAGGCGGAGACCTGCTGCACGAGGACAGAATAGCGGCGCGAGCCCAGGGGGGAGGCCAGAAGAGGCAGGCCCTCACAGAAGGCGGCCCGGCTTCACAGAGGCCCTCTGGCCTTCTAATGCCTCCTGAGATACCGTCTCTGTCTTCGGACTGCTGCCTCAGAGAAACCATGTAATGTCTTCTGAAGCTCAATCGGGCGGGTGGCAATGCGGCGTGACCCAAATGGAGGGTGGAGAGAAGGGCCCTAAAAGGGGCTGGTTGGGTGCCCTTTTCGAGCCGGTCGGTCCCCGAAGGGGGGCCCTAAAGTGCCCCCCGCTTCACCCCCCATTTGGGCTACCCCCATTTGGGTCACTCCCCATTTGGGTCACCCCCCATTTGGGTCACCCCCTATTTGGGTCGCCCCCCATTTGGGTCACTCCCCATTTGGGTCACCCCATATTTGGGTCACTCCCCATTTGGTTCACCCCCCATTTGGGTCACCCCACATTCGGGTCACCCCCCATTTGGGTCAGGCCCTTTTCTTCACCCCCCATGTGGGCCACCCCCCCATTACCACCCGCCCGGCCCAAACGACTTCTCAGAAGGCCCGGGGCCTCCCGAGCGTTCCGGGAAGGCCCGCGCGCTGCCTCGTTCTTCCCCCCCTGGGCTCGCCGCCGAGGGCCGGGGCCTCCCGGATGGGTGCGGCGTCGATGGTGTCGGAAGAACGCGCCGCATCGTCGATGCATCGTGGATGCATCGGCGACGCCGGCATGGAGAAAGCCGGGCTCCACACTGAGCCGCATCGCCGATGCACTGGCGATGCGGCGCGATCCTACGACCCCATGTACCCTGACCCCATCCGGGAGGCCAGGGATAGGTCGGGCATGTCCTTCTACAGGGGGATCTTGGACGAAAAATGAAACACAGGCAAACATCATTCAAACAGAATCAAACGTAGTCGACAAATCGTCACCATACTATTTCTTGGACTGTGTTTGCATATTCCTCCTGCAGAGCGACGTGCCCTCTTTAAGCCTAGGGAGCCGGGCAGCGGAATCGGTACCTTCTCCTCGTCCGAGGCCCCTCGAAGGCGAGGCCCTGTCCGGAGCGCCCCGCGCGGCTGCCCGGTGCGGGACCGGCGGCGGCGGCGGCGAGGCGACTCGGAGGCGACGGCGGCCCTGCCCCGCAAAGGGGGCTGGCTGCCGTGCGGCAGAGGCACTGGCTGGCGGAAGGCCACGGGGGCGCCTGAGCGCGTGCGGGGTCCACGCGAGCGATCGCCCGTCGTCGTCGTTCGTCGCCGTCGCTCGCTCGTCGTCGCTCGTTCATCGTCTGCCGGTCGTTGCCGTCGCCGTCGCTCGACGCTCGTCACCGTGTTGTGTCGATGATCGAGGGTCGGGTGCGTATCGTTGACGTCTTTGTACGGCTTCAATTCAATATGCTGAGGCCCCTGGGGCGCTCTCGTGGCCACGGCTTGATAAGCCTCAAGTCTCTGGTCAGAAGCCGCCTTAGGCGAATTCAAAGGATGGTCGCCGTCATCGCTCGTCGTCAACGTCATCGTTATCGTCGTTTCCGTGGCCATCGACTCGTAGGGCCCCGGCACCTCCAAAATCCGCCGGCCCCCTGGCAGGGCCATTAGGCTGCGAGGATTAAGGTTGCTGCTCCCTGCGCCAATTCCAGTTTCCAGTTTCCATTGTTACAATGTTGCTGTCTGCTTCCTACCGTTAATTTTTATGTCCGCGCGAGGGGGGGGAGCCGAAAAGGGCCCTGGTTAGCGTCTCCTGAGAAGGTTCTCACAATTTATGGGGGGGCGTGGGACACAAAAAAATGCAGGAGTCTCGTGCCCCCCGAGCCATAATCCCTCGCAAATTACATTGTATTCGCGCCCCCGAGGCCACGATCCCATGTAAATTACACCACATTCGCGTCTTCGAGGCCACGATCCCTCGTAACTTACACCACATTTGCGTCTCCGAGGCCACGATCCTACGTAAATTACTCCACATTCGCACCCTCGAGGCCACGATCCCTTGTAATTTTCAACACATTCGCGCCCCCGAAGCCACGATCCCAAGTCATTTAGTTAATTTTCGCGCCCCCGAGGCCACGATCCTTTGTAAATTGCAACAAATTCGCGCCCCTGTCGCCACGATTCCTTGTAAATTATGCAGCGGGCGCGCCCCCGAGGCCACGAATCCGCCTTGCGGAAGCTGCCAAAAAAGCGCTCTCCCCTTCCAAAGCTGAAACAAACAAAATTTCTGTGTTGGGATATGTGCTCCGCTGGTGTTCTTTTGCCCCCCCCCCCCCCGGTTCTAGAAAATTTGGCGGTGGGTTCCACATTCACCCCCCCAGGCCATGATCCCTCGTAAGTTACGCCGCATTTGCGCCCCCGAGGCCACGATCCCGTGCGAATTACACCACATTCGCGCCCCCCGAGGCAACGATCCCTCGTAAATTACGCCGCTGTCGCGCCCCCCAGGCCACGACCCCTAGTAAATTACGCATTCGCGTCCCCGAGGCTACGATCCCCCGCGAAGTACACCAAATTCGCGCGCACCTCCCACGCTACGAATCCACCTCGCGGAAGCTGCCCAAAGGCGCCACTCCTTCTCCAGAGCAAAAACACAAAACCTTCCCAGATATTGCCTGAAGCAGTCCCCAGCCGTTCCCAGAGCGCTTCCAGTGAACAACTGGAGGAAAATGCCAAGAAGGCAACAAAGCGTTCAACATCAACTTCAACATCTCAATCTGTTTTGCTCATCGCCAGCCGCCCTAGCATGACGTTCCCGAATGTCATCAAGACGGCGCCCGGACATCCCAATATAGCTCTGATGTATCACATTATGATAGAGAGGGGGGGCCGGCGGCAGGGGGCGAAGCCCTTACGGATAAGAACAACCGATAGGCGGGAGGGAGGGAGCGAGTCGGGGGAGTGCGGAGTGAGGGAGTGCGTGTTTTGCATCGTCTCTGGCACGTGAGCAGCATGCAGGTAGCATCATGCACCTTGCGACCACAACTACACTCAACACTTCAAGGGCGGCCTGGAGCCGCAAAAGCCCCAACAGGTAGCATCTCTTTGCTTAAATAGTACCACAATCGATTGAGAGGGAAGCTGGCGATCGTGAGCACTACGAGCCAAATGATTCGGCTCAACTGTGAGAGTAAGCAGCGCGGACAGGAAAACATATGCATTGAGATCAACAATATCGTGACGGTTCGCGTTGCCAAGCGCCAGGCAAGAGCCTGGCGGCGCAGTATGCCCCTGGAGCTGCAGCTGCTCCTCCTCCTCCTCCTCCTCCTCCTCCTCCTCCCCGCATCGTCCTCTTCCTCATCCTGATTCCTTCATCCTCCTCTTCCTTCTCCTCCCCCTCCACATTCCGGTACTACTCATGCAATTGCTCCTAACTAACTCGCTGGGGCGCTGGGCGACTTCCATAACGACGCCCATAAAAATGTCCAACCAATGTTGTTGCACGTGTCGGTCCGCGAGACTATCCAAATAGTCACTGTTTTCGGCATTGTTATCCACTCGCCATCCGTGACGTGGCACCCACACCACGCGGAATCAGATTCGTATCGCCAGTCCAAAAGAACACATGGAAGGGGCGTCACTGGTCACGCTCCCGGGCTTGGGCTCACTTGCAATCTAACAATGATTGATTACGGAAAGGATGCTGACGGATTGGACGGCATGACGGCCTGCGCGAAATTGTTTTGTTCGGCAGCCATGGAAGTCCATGAACAAATCACGGATGCTGTGTGCTGACAGCGGCAACAGAACCTTCTCCAACGACTCTTCCGCCACCTCCAGCCCGTGAACCAAGTCAGTACAACAGAACTAGCTTGCTTAATCCGATGTTTCGTGAAATGCGCCGAAATGCCATCACCAATCACTGGACAATGATAATCAGAGGAGAACAGAGACCACCGCCACGGAGAACCCTTCGAGAGGGATCCCCCACGGGCGGTGGCACGCCTGGGCGTCGTCCGGTACTGGGTGACGCTCGGGTGCGCCACCGCACCAAAGACGTCCCCCCACTCGATGGGTTCTCGGTGGCGGTGCTCGATGTCTCCCCCCCGTGAGCTCACGTTCCAGTCACCGCCGCATCAGCGCGAGTGCTGCGCATGCGCCCAGATACTTCTAGCATGATATTGGATGTCTGAACGTCTCGCCCCGTGGCGACCACAACGTGGAGTCCCCACCCGCCACACGGACACTGGATCTTAGATTCGTGCGCAGTGCTGTTGCCCCCCGATGATCAACGCGCACTCCGCGTGCACTACATGCTCTGGAGTGTGATGGCGTTCTCGTCGCGCCGTGGATTGCCACCGTTTCGATCATCGCGAGAGAAAGCGTCGACAGCGGACAACCCTCGCCGCTGGCTGGACGATTTCGCCGGCGCCGAGCACATTCAACCGAACGCCACCGGAAACATCGAGACATTGTGCTCGCCTGTGCGCAGAGTGACCCCCTGGGGCAGCTCGGGTCGGGCGAAAGGGGGGGATCGCAAAGGGGGGGTTGAGAATCAGCTCGCGTAGCTGATTTTCCCGGCGCCTCCCGGCGCCGGAGGCGACTATGTATCGAGGAATGGGCCCCTCGGCGGGGCCGAAACTAGCTGCACGCAGCAGATTTCGTAACCCCCCCTTTCCCAATCCCCCCCTTTCGTCTGGCCCTACCTCTGGGGGCCCCGGGGGAGGTCAGAGCCAGGCGCGCAGGCCGGCGCTGGGGGGGGGGGGAGGCCCCTCGGGGCCCGCACCCGGGGGTCACCCTGGCAAGCCGGAGAGGGAGCCCGAGAAACGGCCACCACATCTGAGGAGGGCAGCAGGCGCACAAACTACCCAGTCCTGACACGGGGAGGCAGCGGCAAGAGACTACAATACGGGGCATACTTGTCTTGGAATTGGAAGGAGTCTGATTTTCATCCCTGTGCGAGTGCCAATTGGCCAATTGGAGGGCGAGTCTGGTACCAGCAGCCGCGGCAATTCCAGCTCAAGGGTCACTCTTGCGTGCAGTTTGGGTGAGCCATCCTGGCATGCTTCGCCCCAGGCGGCCCAGAGCGCCTGAGCGCGGCCACGAGAGCACCGGCGCCCCGACCGAGTCGGACGCCTTCTGCCGATGGGGAGCGGCTCTCCCGCGCAATCCTGTGGCGCGCCCTCGAGGACGCACTGCTTCGGAGACAACTACTAGGAGGTTCTCGTCGGAAGGATTGAGGAGAATTAAGCCCCAGTAATTGGGGGGCTACTGCGTCGGATCAGGCAGTCCGACATTAAGCCGCACTCAGCGGGATTACGCCGGACTAGGCGGGATTGAGCCGGATTTCGGACCAGCGCAAAATCAGAACTTGACCTCCCAGGAATTGCACCCGAACGCTGCTACGTACCCGACGGGCCTCGTGAAAGAAGCACGGCAGGCGTTTCAGCCCCAGAGGAACACAGAGCTACGTAAACATAATCTCGGAGGTCCACACGGGTTTCATGGATCGATGCTGGAGCCCCCTCCTCGGCGCGCTCCGCGCGCCAGGGGCGGCGCCGGAGGCGCCGCGGGGGGGGGCAGCCAGAGCCAAGTAGAGCGCAGTGCCCGAGCGCGTTGGCCTCTCAACGACAACCCCCCAGAAGTGGCAGCACCTGCAGTGAGGCACCTGCAGGGAAGCGAAGAGCTGGAACGCGCGCCCACCGCCAGGCCGAGGCCTGCGCAGCGAAGCGCACCACAAACACCACCGGGAACAAGACCTTGCCCTCCCTGGGCGCCGCCGAGTGCGCAGCTGTCGCCACGTGCGTGAGCTCCCCGAAGGTCGAGCGGGGCTGGAGCCTGAGCGCGCCGAGTGCGCAAAAGCGCTGCCGCGTGCGCGAGCTCCCGGGGGTCTCTCCAGCGGCGCGCGGCCCCGCGCCGAGCGAGAGCCACAACTCCTGTGGCGGGTGCCCGTTATGACTGGGGCACCGCTTGATCCCCAGACCTCCAACGTATGGTAAAAATCGAGACGGAGGTTTTTCTTGATTTTCGGTCTCCAGCGGCCCTCGCCGGGCCCACGGACTACAAACGGGCGCCCGCGAACCCTTGCCCGAGCAGCGAGGGCGCGAGGCGGGGGCGCATCGGAGCAGGGCGAGCTGAGGCCAAACGGCAGCTCAACGTCGGCCCCCGCACCCGCTTCCCGAGCCGCCCGCCCCGGCCCGAAGAGAGCAGGAGGAGGAGGGGGAGGAGGAGGAGGATAAGGAGGAGGCGGAGGAGGAGGAGAAGGGGTGGGAGGATGCTCCTGAGGTCCACGCCGCGCCCGTTTCCCGAGCTGCGTCCCCGCGTGGCGGCGAGGGGCCCTCCCCCCACGAAGGCCGGCTGCCGCTGCCTCAGCTCGCCCTCCTCGGAGCCTCGCGACGGCTCCCGCCCTGCGGCCTCGCAGGCCGCGGAGCGGCAGGCGCTGCCGAGGAAGGGCCACCCGACGACGACGACGACGACGACGACGACGACGACGGCCGCAGGGGGTGCTAAAAGGATAAGGGGGATGCAAGTGGATGCTGAGGTTCTAAGGTGGGGGCGGAGCCCACTTTGCGGAGTCACTATGTCATCCTAAGCCGCATAGGGCACTTGTAACCCACTTATGAGGTGGGTCAGGCCAGATCAAGCCCAGTTCAGCATCGAAATCTACCCCCCCCCATTCCCATGAGCATCCACCGCGACGATCCAAGCATGCCCCCCTCCGCGCGTGGCCGAAAAAATGCAACGCCCGGACCTCCGGGAAGGCCCCGGGGGACTCCGCAGGGTCGCTCTGAGCATCGGTTAACCGATCCCCATCCCCACCAGCGTGGGCTGGGCCCCGCTGGCCGATTTACCCCCCTGCTTGGGAGCATAGGCTGCTCTCTTCGGGTTTCGAGGGGCACATCCCCAACTGGGGTGGTGAGACGGTGGGTCTCGAGATGGGGATGGGGATGGGGGTAGGGATCGGTTATCGGGAATCTGCTGGCCCGGGTCATTCCAGATCAGGGTCAGTCAGGCCTTCCAGAATCCTGCAAGATCCTGCGAGATCCTGCACCCAAGCCAGGGTCAACGCGAAAGATCCTGCCAGATCCTGCAGGATCCTGCGCCCAAGATCGGGTCAATGCGACCCTGGCCCTGCAGCATTCTGCAAGATCCCAGCGCTTTGGCTGACCCCCGCTTGCACTGACCCACGTCCCACGGCTCCCGAGGTTAAGCTTAGGTCGGGCCTGTCCCCCTACAGGGGGATTTGGGGCGATACTAAAACAATACGCCCGAAATGCTCAAACAAGTAGTCAAACAATCGTCCCAGTCTTTTTTGTTGACTACTTGTTTTGAATATTCCCCTGTAGAGGGACAGGCCCGACTTAAGGATAAGCGATGCCGACGCTCCTGCCCGGGCGGAGGGCGGCGGCGCCGTTCAGGAGCAGGGCGCTCTGCGACAGCCTGCGGAGCGCGCCGAGGCGCCAGGTAGGCAGCGGGGGCGGGGCACTTTGCAGGCGCAGGGCGAGGCGAGGGGGCGTGCAGCGTGAAGCCGTACCAAAACGGTGCGCGGCAAGGGCCTTGGATTACGGCCAGGACCGACCACAACGATGTTCAAAACGCGTGCGTTTGGAACGGGCAACGCGTTGCACCCGACTGTTGTACAACGAACGAAACCAGCCCAAACGAGAACGAAGAACGAAACGGAATCATCGATTGTAACGAAAACAAGACGAACAACACGAAACGGAATTCGAAGACCGCGCCAAAAACAACGAATTATGGTGCCCCCCATCGCAGTTAAGGGCCAAGTCCCCCAACAAAGAGTCTCGAGCACCCAGGAAAGCATCGAAGCAGTATGCCAAAGCAGGTTGGAGCACCACAGGCCCTCGGAGGGCCATGCTCACGTTTGTCGAGCGAGGCTGGCCAGCGAACGTCACCAGGGATGGGCCGAAGGGGGCAAGGGTGCAAGGGGGGGAGCCTTGGGAAGGCTGCCCAGCCTTACGGTGCGGGTTGACGGCAGTCGTGGCCGTCGAAGCGCAAGGAAAAGGCTCGGAAGGGGCTCGCGGTTCCTCAGGTCCTTTCATGGCTGTTCCTCTAGTGCTCCTCATGCACCCGAGCACTCCTGGGGCCCAAAAAGGGTTCTCCCTCTCTCTCTCTCTCTGTCGCCAGCGTCCTTCCTCCTTCCTCCTCTTTCTTCCTTCCTCCTCCTCCCTTCCTCCCTCCTTTTCCTCCTGCTGCTCCTCCTCCTTGTTCTTTGTTCAGCGTTCACCGTGGCAGCCCAGCACTGTAGTCGTGGTCGTAGTGGTCGTCGCATTCGTGGTCGCAGTCGTGGTCGTGGTCGTCGTCGTGGTCGTGGTCGTGGCTGCGGTCGCAGTCACAGCCGTCGTCGTGGTCGTAGCCTGAGCCGTCGTTGTCGTCGTCTGAGTCCACTCGGCGTCCGAGACCGCTCCGCCACCGAGCGGGCAGGCTACCGGACCCGAGGCCGGCGGAGAAGCAGGAGGTATTCGTGGGACGCTGCGTTCAGCGCTGCACCTGTAATTGGGCCCAAGGACACACAAATAAATATACACAAATCCCCGGATTCCCCCATATTTTCCCATATTTTCTGTGTTCTCGTCTTCCCCCCCACTTCCCATATTTTCCCATATTTTCCTGGGGATCGTCGATTAAGTGTGTCTGTGTGTTTTTCCCCTCCTGAACCTGGCCGATCCGAACCGGTAGACCCTGCCTCCGACCAGCTGCCAAGTGGCAACGCGTGGCCGCCACACGGCGCGCGAGAAGCGGAGGGCAAGATTGAGGAGAGCCGGGCGCGGGACGGCAGATGAGACCGGAGGGGGCAGGTAGGACCGTAGGGAGGAGGAGGAAGGCGGAAGGGACACGAGGAGGAGGGGGGAAGGGAAAAGGGAGAAAGAGGAGGAGGGAGGAAGGGAGAAGGAGGAAGGAAGAAGGAGGAAGGAGGAAGCAGGCTGGCGAGAGAGAGAGAGAGAGGGAGGAAGGACGAGACGAGCAGAGGGAGGACGAGGGAGAGAGGTTGGAGTAAATGAGGACAACAGGCTGAGGCTGGGGCTCGTACGCTCGACAGAACAACAGTTCTGGGGTAAATCGGATAGACGGTCGATCTCCGACTGGAGTGATGAGTGGTGGAGGAAGGGATCGAGCCACGGAGGAGGGAAGAGCAAAGAAGCGGAGAACGAGTAACGAAGACCAGGAGAAACGAAAGAGGATCATCTGGTGAGGGAGGGGTGGGACAGTAGATGGACAATAGATTCGAACCCTCACACATTCGAGTGAGATTCTAAATCACCCCCGCGCCCCCGACATCAATGTTGATCTCAGCAAAGGCGGTGCTTTGGGGTTCGAATATTTCTGTCCACTCACGCCCCCCCCGTCGCCACGCCATCAATGTTAAATTCGGGGGTTCGGTGGGGCATCTTGGGCCACAAGGTTCGAATATAATGTCCATGTACGGGAGCAAAGGAGGGTAAATTTGCATACGCATACAGTTTGGACGGGCCTCGCGGATTTCTTGGATCTGCGCTGGAACCCCATCCCTGGCGCGCGGAGCGCGCCAGGAGCGGCGCTGGAGGCGCCGCCAGCGGGGCCCGACGAGCTTCGAAAATTGAGAATCTTGAGGAGAAGAGCGGGAGGACGGAAGAAGGACGAGGCAAGGAGGAGAAGGAGAGGGAGCCTAGGATAGATCGATCGAGGATCGAGGATCGAGGATCGATCGAGGGGAGGGTGGAGAGAGGAGAGAGCTATGGAGGATGGGAGGACGCCTGCCGGCCCTCGACCTCCCGACGAGAGCGCGAGAGGGGGCACGCGTGCGGTGGGGCTCCGGCAGCCCACCTCTGATGGGCCAACTTTCCACCACCACTGCCATAGGTAGGACGGGGGAGAGGGGACGATGGGGAGGTCCTTCTCCCTCTCCTCCCCCTCCTCCTCTTCCTCCTCCTCCTCCTCCATCTCCTGCCTCTCGCAGTGGTGGTGGAGAGCTGGCCCATCCACCTCTCCCCCGTCCGTATCCTCCTCTTCTATTCTGTTCTGGTCAGCGTTTTCTGATTGGGCGTTTCGGCAGTGGGCGGAAGGAGGGAGGAGGGGAGGGGGTCTGGCTCCAGACCTCTGCTCAATGCGACTGTTTTCTACAGCGCGTCCGATCGGGGAGCCCCCACCTGCTTGAAACCGGCGCCAAAAAACTTCCAGGATCTACTCCAGGGGGAGAGGGGGGGGGGAGGTGCGAGGGCCCGCGGCGATCGGCAATGCAGCGAATCAGAAGCTATCACCTGCTCTGAAGTGTTCTGTTCGGTTCTGCCAAGCCAGACAGGACGCTTCGAGGGCATGCGCACCGACCTCTGGAGATCCGCGCGGAGTCTCGGATCGGCGCAGGGCCTTCCCGGGGCGGCGCCTCGCGGCGCCTCCCTGGCGCCTCCCCTGGCGCGCTCCGCGAGCCAGGGAGGGGGGGCCAGCGCCGATCCAGGAGATCCGCGAGGACCGTCGAAAGTTTATGTGTCTGCAGATGCCTGTCTCCTTTCTTCCCGCCCCCCCCTTTTTAACCAAGTGATCCTATTTCGTTCCTCTTCGTCTGCGTCGCTCCTTCTCCGCTTCCTCTCTTTTTCCCTCCTCCGTGGCTCCATCTTGTTTTTTACCTCTCATCATTCCAGATTTGTCCCCCGTTACTCCCGTCCCCTCCACCAGATTGTCCTCACTCGTTCTTCATCCTGTTACTGCAATTTTTCGTTTTCGAAGAACAAGGCCGACATTCCAGGCAAGGAGCGGGCCGTCATGCATGATGCTCACTAAGCCCCCTGAATTGCAGGAGGCCCGACCAAGGGAAATTAGTTGCCCTGCGCAAGCCCTGTCACGATCGGGCCAGACCCCTCGAGTGTGAAACAATGGTGCTGGCCCCCTTGGGTACCAGCGCTGACCGTGTTTGGGTGATGAGGAAATCATAAATGAGTCCTCCATGTTTTTCTTTCGTGCCCATCCGCCCGCTTGGCAAGACGGCCGATTGCCGGCTGCGGGTTCCGCGCGTCTTAACAATGAACGCATGTGATAGGAGGGGGGCCTCCCACGGTGCAGCTGGCCGGCGCAACCTGCGCCGACGTCCCGCCGTGCGGGTGTCATGAGCGGCGAGCACATCCGCATCCGCGCCCTCGCGGTCTGGATTCTGGGGTTTGGACTGCGACCGCGTAGGTTTATAAACCGGTCAGGATTGCTTAAACCCTCGACAGGGATTTAAACGCCAAGGTCTTGGTGCTATTGTTTAGCCTTCGTGCAAGGTCAAGGTTTTGGAATGCCTGACATGCGTTCAATGGCGCCGATGGGCCATGCCTTCGGCGTGGCCCTCGGAGGTCTACGTGCAGCGCCCGCCCCTGGGCGATTCGCCTTCCTCGACGCTTCCGAGGAGGAATGGGCCCCGCGGATACGCGGTCGCACGGATCCGCTCCGCGCGGGGCATCCGCGACCAAGACGCCCCGCATCTGCGGGGCCGCGGCCCAGAGGCCAGGCCCGCGACGCCGCGGACACGAACATAAGGTGTTTCGTTTCCGCGGCGGGGCCTCGTCGGTCCCGGACCAGCCGCCCCTGGGCATTTCTCTTTCTGGGGCCCTGGTGGCGGCGGGTTGGCGGCGCGCGCGGGGGGCATCGGGAACTGGGGAAGGCTTCTCAAAAGGAGGCCACTTCTCAGAAGGCGCCGGCCCTGCATGCATAGACGCGGCCCGCGCCGTTTCAGAAGCAAGGGTGTTTCTGGGGAGCCTTCCCCCGCCCCCCGTCGCCCGTTCCCCGCGTGGCCGAACGCCGAACGGGGGCGCGCAGGCCGCCGCGGGACACCGACGTGCCGCGCCAGCGGCACCAGCGCGGCTCCGCGGCAGGCGCAACGGGGGCCAGATCCGGACGGCCCCCGGCAGGGCCTGCAGCTGCGCCACAGCGCCCGCCGCCGCGCCCATGACCCGCGACGGTTCGCCGCCAGGAGCTCTCCGAGCTTCCCTTCGGTAGCGTGTATTTCGGGTTCATGTTGAGCTGTAGTTGCACCGATTCGGCGCCCGCGCGATTGCACGCGCGCCCCCTCGGTCACGCGGCGCGCCTGCGTTGCATCGAGGACCTCTGGCTGCCCCGGTCTCGAAATCAGTCGGAAAACCAAATGGGATCGCGGCAGACAAGTTTAGAGGCCTCCTGGGTGGGGTCCGAATAGACGCGGCCCGAGGATCGCGCCGCATCGGCGATGCATCGGCGACACATCGCCGATGCATCGGCACTGCGGCGCGATCCTCCAAACCCCTCTACTCGGATCGCATTTGGAAAACTCGACCACATGAAACCTTCCATAAGAAACCTAACCCTGAGACTCCAGGACGTTTGGCGTGGGAAAGTCACGCCCTCCACCGCGAAACCATCGAAACCGAAGAGACCCAGGGCACGCTGGAGGCAAGCAGGGTGTTTCTTGCCATGGACCTTTTGTTCTGTTTCCCACTGACCACACAACCGGGCTCCGCGCGCCCGATCGCACGGTTCGTAGGCTCCTTCGGGAGCCCACTCGCTCAGCCCCCGACGTACTCGATGTCCACGAGGTTCACCGCTACGTCTTTGGACTTGCCCTTGGCCGTGCCTCCCCGCCCACTCCGGTAGTTGCAGTGCGGAACTACTTTCTCAAATTCAGAGCAGCCCCGCGGGCCGCGCGGCAAGGGCCGACCTCCACTGCGAGGCAGGCTGTCGGCGCTTCCGGACGGCGTGGTGGGCGCGCGCACGCGGGCCTGCCGCGCCGGCCCGCGCGCGCCGACGCACGCGAGGTTTCGAGGTGCCTCCAGGCAGTGGCGGTCCCCGTGGAGGTCAACCCTGGCGCCGCCGCCGCGATCCTCGTTTTTCTGTGAAAATGGTTATTTTCCATCTGTGCCGGTGAAGCGCCTTGTTTTTGTTTGACTACTTGTTTTTGATGTCTCTATTGTGGCCACGCGCCTTCCTCGCACTTTTGTTTGAACAAATGTTTGTGTACCCATCTCTTTTGGCCATGCGCCTTCCTCTCTTCTCCTTTGACCAACTGCATATATCTTTCTGCTTTGTCTACGCGCCTTCCCTGCTTTTACTGTTTGAGCACATTTGTTTGAACTATGTACTGCGGTAGCGCGTGTTTCGTGTAGCGCCTGAGGCCGCCGTGCCCGATGCCCTGCCGAGGGCCGCCAGGCGGAAGGGGCGGGGGCGCGCGGGCGCCAGGGGAGGGGGGCGCGGGAGGGTGCGGCGCGTGGTCGAGAGCCGAGCGGAGGCGCGCTGGGATGACCACAGTGACGATGATGATGACGGTGATGGTGGTAATCCCGATGCTGATGATGACGATGATGCTGATGATGCTGTTGATGATGCCGGTGATGATAATGATGGTGATGCTGGTGATGATGATGCTGATGGTGATGATTATGGAGATGATGGTGATGGCGATGATGATGGTGGTGGTGATGGTAATGATAGTGATGATGATGGTGATGATGATGATGATGATGATGATGGTGGTGGTGGTGGTGATGATGATATGTTGTTGCTGGTGTTGCTGGCGAGCCGCCAACATCTGAAAACCGAGGTGGCAAGTCGAGAGCCTCCAACGTCCAGGCGACAAGACTCGGGCAGCGCTTGGCCCGTCAGAAACTCCTAACAAAACGCGATTCAGAAGCAGCGTGCGGCCTTCAAAACCGAACAGTCTAGCAAGAAAGCAGGGCTCGGAGCCGCGCCGCAGGGCGGACGACCACAATGACGATGATGATGATGATGATGCTGATGATGATGATGCTGCTAATGGGGATGATGATAATGCTACTGATGATGTTGATGATGCACATGATGATGCTGTCGATTATGATGACGGTGCTGCTGATGATGATGATGATGGTGGTGGTGGTGGTCATGCTGATGATGCTGATGACGGTGATCTGGTGGTGATGATGGTGATGAAGATGCTGCTGATGAAGCTAATGATGATGCTGATGATGTTGTTGATGCTGGTGATGATAAGATGGTAATGATGATGATGATGATGATGATGATGATGATGATGATGGTGATGATGTTAATCATACTGTTGATGATGATATGCTGGTGGTGTTGATGACGATGGGGATGATGATGCTGAACATGGTGATGATGATGATGATGATGATGATGATGATGATGACGATGACGATGACGATGACGATGATGATGACGACGACGACGACGTCGACGAGGACGGGGCAGCCTGCCTGCCTTGCTTGAACCTCCCCTCGCCCGCAAGGGGCGGCAGCGCAGCGCGGGGGAGAGGCCGGGGCGGCGTCTCGCGCCTCGTGAGCCGCGCCGTGTCGCCCGGGCCGTCGAGCGAGATCTCGAGGTGGGTGCGCGAGATCTGGGTCCGCTTGGCCTGGGCAGGGGCGGCTGTCGGCGGGAAGTGGGTCCTCTTCCTCGTCCTCCTCCTCCTCCTTCTCCTCCCCCTCCTCCTCGTCCTCTTCCTCTGCCTCCTCCTCCTCCTCCTCCTCCTCCTCATCCTCCTCCTACTCCCCCTCATTCTCCACTTTCTCCTGAGTATCCTCCTCCTCCTCTGTGATAAGGGCTAGGCACCTCCTGACCGACCCATCTCGGGCTCCGCTCACGAAAGGCCCCAAGTGACGACCACAAACAGTCCTCCTCCTCCTCCTCCGCCTCCTCCTCCTCCTCCTTCCCCTTCTCCTCTTCCTCCCCTTCCTCCTCTGTCTTTTCTTCTCCTCGAGCGCTTGAATAGTAGGAAGGGGAGAGGACGAGGAGAAGCGGAAGCACGGCGACGGCGACGAGGATTGTGAGAAGAAGGAGCAGCAGGTCACGGTTGGCGGCGAGCGAGGGGGGGAACTGAGAAGGGGCGGGCCTCCTCAGCAGGCTTGGAAGTCCCCCGGACTTCGAAGAAGTATCCGAAGCCTACCCCGAAGACGCAGAATGCTTGTCAGAAGGCCGGAGGGCTTCTGAGAAGCCCCGCCGCCTTCTGAGAAGGCCTTGTCCTCCCCATTTCCCCCCCTCGCTCGCCGCCGATCAACTTCGAGGGTTGGCAGAGCACCCTTCCCCAGACCCCCTCGGATCATGAAAAATAACGGCGACAGGTTTTCGCCATGATCGAACTCTGGGGGCCCCCTACCGGGCCCGGGGACCGTGAAACAGCTACCCAGGATGAAAAGCCAGGCCCTGGGAATGGGGCGGGCGAGCCCTCTCGGGGTCAACGTTATGGGAAAATCATGGCGTCGGGGTTCTGGGATCCTTGGCTTGCCGGAGGCCCCTTTTCGGCGGCGCGCCTGGGGGGAAGTGAGAAGGAGCAGGCCTCCTCAGAAGGCTGCGGGGCTTCTCGCGAGCCCTCGCGCCTGATGCGAAGTGTTCTGTCTGCGGGGAAGGCTTCGAAAGCTTCTCTGGAAGGCCAGAGGCCGTCCGAGCCTCTTGAGGTGGCCCGCCCCCTCTCACTTCCCCCCCGCGCGCTCCTCCTCCTCCTCCTCCTCCTCCTCCTCCTCCTCCGCCTCCTCCTCGCCCCCTCCTCCTCCTCCTCCTCCTCCTCATCCTGCTCCTCGCCGCCGACCTTTCGCAAGAACGCACTTCAGCGAGAGCGGCACTCCACATGGGTGCGCGCGGCACCGCGTCCATTCCGAGTGCACCCAGGCGGGATCACGATCCGACGTATGAAAACAAACGAATGTACAAAAAGCCAGTCCACAAGAAACCTTCCACAAGAGACCCAACCCGTGAGACCCAACCCGTCCACTGATTTTTGGTGTGGGCACATCGCGCTTTCCAGAGCAGGGCCATCGAACCCCGAGAAACCCAGGGCACCCTGGAGGCAAGCTGGGTGTTTCTTGGCATGGGCCTCCCGTATCCAGCGATGCTGACGTCAATTAGCGAAGCCAACCGAGGACTGTACCTGTACGCTCGTATGGAAACGTCGGGTGAGACCTTGAACATTTCCTCAATCGACTTGGCTGTGTGGGCGTTCTCTCAATGTCGGACGAATCGGCACCACTGCCACCACCGCGAACATTTGGACGCCCGAAACATGTACGGAAAAATGGGTACGATGCCCAACAGAAAATGTCGCCCGAAACCGACGACGGCACCCTGGCGCTGCAATTATCCCACAACGGGCATTTTCACCAAATTTCGGGCCAACGGGCCCTCATATATCGATCTGGCTCGAAAAATAATTCTGAAGGATGGGGTCTAGGGCGCTAGCCGTGATTTCTCACGATGGTGCAACGTCTCGCAACGTCGGGTCTGAGGGGACATGCGATGTCTTCCCCAAGGGACAGTTCTTTATCCCGAGTCGTGTGTTGAGTGCCCCGAGAGGCCTGGCGAGGGACCACACACAGAGGCCGAAAACCCCAAAAAGGACAGCGTTTTCAGTAGACTCCAGCAAATTTGCTTACTTGGCCTCCCGCCGCCTTATCGAGCAGCGCCGGGCTCGAAAAAGGCGCGCAGGTGGGCCCCGGCTTGCGTCAAGTTCAGATCCCGTTGCGGGCCTCGCCACGACCTGAACTTAGGTCGGGCATGTCCTCCTACAGGAGGATTTTAGGCCAACGATGAAAAAATGCTAACAACAAAAAGGCTCGAACAGTTTGAAAATATGTTGAATCTACGGTATGTTCTATACTTTTCTGCAGCTTGAAATGCTCCCCATATTATTATGTTGCATGTTGGGATACTCCTCCTGTAGATGGACAGGCCCGACTTAAACCTAAGCCCCCCTTCAAATAGACCGTCAATGATAATCTAAAACGCATGGCCTCCCAGGGCCTCGGTGTGAGCGTGCCTGGGCAGGCCACACCCAGGAGAGCCCAGACACGAATCGACAAGTCGGATCGGCGATCGAAACCAGTCGGATCGGCGGATGTCGGCAACTGAGTCGGGAAAGCAATCGAATCCGCTGAGATCGGCAGGCCGGCAGGCCTCCGTTGAGAAACCGGATCCCGAATCGGAGTCCGAAGCCGAATCAAAGCGGAGTCGAAACCCATCGAAAGCGACCCGAATCGAATCGGAGGAATCGAAACGATCCCCTGGAGGAACGGGAGGAGGAGAAGGAGGAAAAAGAGGAGGAGGAGGAGGACAAAGAGGAGGAGGAGGTTGAGGTGGAGGAGGAGGAGGAGGAGGAGCCCTGCACGCCTGTCTTCGAGCCTCCATCTGTGCGTGGTGTGTGCGGCTGTGCCTCCGCGCCCCGCGCGCCGCGCCCCTCTCGGGGAGGAGGGGGGGGGGGGCAGAGCTCTTTTCCCCACCGGGCCCCCGCGCAAAGTGCGAGCGACCTCGCTCCCCTGCGGGTGAGCTCCAGGACTGTGGACGCAATGATGATGGACCCTCGAACCGATCTACCATGGAATTAAACATGTAGTTTAAGTGTCTTCTGCATGCTTAAAACTCCGATTAGAAACGATGTAAAACATGGCTCAACACCTTGGACATCTGGAAACGGTTTGAAACATATGTTTCACAACAAATGTTTGACTTAGAACTGTAATACACATGCTTGAAACATCTTTAGACATCTGGAACATATTTGGCAACGCGCCTCTTCTCCATGGATCGTCTTCCACAACTCTAGGAGACGAGGGGGGGGAGGGCAGGGTGGTGGATCCGAATCCGACTCCAGCTCGTGGAATTCAAGATCACCTCATCAGTCTGTCTTGGGCAGCCGCTGCCAACCTTGACGCGAACGGGCTCAGAGGGGTCCTGTGTCGACCAGCGGCAATCCAGCAAGCTAGCGCCCTCGGCTCGAGGCCGCACTGCCCCCATCAATGGCACCCCTAGGGTCTGCAGGGTGGTGGGAGGGGACGGAGGAAAATATCAGTGATACACATGTGTCGTGTCGCCCAGGTGACAGCACGGCCCACGAACACATGTGCACACTTAGGTTTTTTTTTTTTTGCGTGTCGGGGCCTGGTCATGGACAATGCGGCAATGACCCGAAACATCCGCTGATGTCCCATGTGCGGCGACGGCGCCAATGGGGTTCCATCGGAAGCAGCCTTAAGGCTGCGCTTCGTTAGCAAAATCGGTCCTCGAGCCAATATGGCGACGGTCCTCCTTTACCATCCCTACTCCTCCTCCGCAACCTCCTTCACCTCCTGGGCGAAATAGGAGGAGGGAGGGAAGGGAGGGGGTCGCTGGGAGGGGGCGGAAGGGAAGGGCGCGAAGAGGGGGAGGGGAAGGAGAGAGAGAAAAGGAGGAAAGGGAGGAGGAAGAGGAGCTCATTTTCGCCATCTCGCTGGATCCTTCTCCGAGCTGCCACGTTTCGCACTCGCCGAGTCCGAGGGCGGGGCGAGCGCACCGATCCGAGGCGTCGAAACGACTCGACGCCAGAAGAGCTGCCAGAACATTGACCCCAAATCAAGCCTGGTCGTGCAGCACGCGGCACTATGCACATAGTGCCGCTCCCCACACCTCAAGGGAACTAAAGCTGCACATGCTAAACCCAGAAGCTATGCCACAGCAGAGCCACCCACGCATTGTCCGTTTTCCCCCACCGAACTGCCCCCTCCCCCTAACGTGGCCCGTCTTAGCGACAGGGTATCCTGTCGCTGCAATGCGCCAGTGCCGCAATTAAAACGCTCAACGAACACGGTCTGGCAGCTGCTTCGCGCCAGCGCGGCTGCCAAGAAGACGTATATCTAAGCGGGACTACGGGATCTCGAATACAGCATGCAACGAAAGCAGGTCGTGGAGGGCGTCCCTCCATGTTTCCCTTACCATCCATGCCCCTCCCTCCTCCTCTCCATCCCCCACCTTTCCTCCCAACACTGAGGCGGGCTGCGCTTGCCTTCAAGACTCGAAGTCGCCGAAAGCACGGACCTATGCCGTTCAACTCCTACTCCGCCCTATCGAGACCTGAAACTAACCCACCACTCCCCTGTGGAAATTCGGCCTGGGAGCTGAAGGCAAGCGCACGCACAACATACCAGCCCTTCAGCTGGCAGCTCACGCCTAAAAACCGAAAGCCGCCGAAGAAACACGCTTCTTCAGGGGGGGGGGGGGGGCTGAAGACGAGGCCGCATCGGAGCCCGCGGGGACCCCCTTCTTCTTGGCCGCACGGGCCTTGGGGGCTGCGGCCTTCAGCAACGTCTTGGCAACAGACGCGCGGGCAGGAGGGTCGTCAGACTCATTGGCAGGCCCGTGCATGAGCGGAACTAATGCCAAACAGCTCGCCTGGCTCATGCGGTCCTTCAGCGTCGCATCGAGGAGCTCCTCCAGCATCGCCTGCCTGTCAGGGTTCGCTGCCCATTGGTAGACCATGAACGTGTCGTAGTCCTCTTCTCGGATGCCCTTGCCTGCCTTCCAGTCCCTGTGTGCCTCCCGTATACAGAAGTTGACAGCCCCCCTGCCCGTGGACATGATGTCGGCGCCGTCCTTATTCACGGCGCGGATGCGAACGAAAAACGAGAGCCTGACCCCGACCTCACGCATGAAATCGTCGGACTCGAACAACGCTTTGGCGCCCTCGGGCATCCTCTTCTCCGAGAGCGCCAGGAAAATCTTCGACATGTCGTCAAGGACAGTGAGCATAGCCGCTGTGCTGATCTTGCGGATATCTCCCTGCGCGTACTCGCGCCAGGCGGCGCATGCTGATTTCAAGCAAATGGGATCTTCCTTAGTAGGCAGGAAGGTGTGCAAAATGTAGCTGTGCATTCTCTCAAGACCGAGCTTGCCGTGAAGGAGGTGCTGAAGCAAGCCCAGCTCGAGCGAGGAAGTCCTGAGCGGGGGGGCGATCGGGCGCGGCAGTCTTGGGCGGGAGGGTCGCCAGCGCAACTAAGCAGCACTAGAATAGAGGAGGGGCGAGGTGAATGAGGGGGGAGGGGCAAAGGAGGATGATGAGGGGTGCTGAAGGCGCGAGGACGAGGAGGACAAAGAGGGCATCTTGCTGCACTTAGGGGGCGCTAAGTGCAGCAAGTTTGGCGGCCAACTTCAGCCGTGAAAGTAAGTTTCTAGCCTCGCCACTCCTAAGGCTTAAACTTTAAGTCATGACGCGTTGGGGGCAAAAGTAAGCTGGCCCCATCCCCTCCGACTCCTGGAATGTGAAAGAGGGCTCGGGCGAGCTCCGGGTGGGAGGATGTCGGGGGGGGGGAGGGGGGGAGGAGGATGCTGGGATAGGCCAGGTAAGCAGGAGGAGCGGCTTCACGACGGTATGCGGCCTCATGACGCGACACATGGGCATCGTATCTGGGTAGAACCCCTCCTCCTCCTCCTCCATCCTCCTCCTCCTCCTCCTCCTCCTCCTCCTCCTCCCCCTCCTCCTCCCCCCCCCCCCCCTCCCCCCCCCTCAAGCCCCCCCCCCCAAAAAAAAAAAAAAAAAAAAAAAGCGCGGGGGGGCGAGGATACAACGCGTTAAGCCACGCGTGGTACGCGCGAGGGTAGGAGGTTTGGGGTTGTCCTGGGAATCGTTTCTGGGAGGGCTGGCGGGGACGCGCGAAGCGTCAAAGACCTGGGTTCGCCTCGGGAGCGCCTCGGATTTTTACCCCTGGGGCCATTGGAGGCCACGCAGAGCCCCCGATTCGCCCCCCCCCCCCCCCCCCCCCCCCCCCCTCCCTGGAGTCTTCTCCAAGCCAAGCGTGGGCACCTCCTCGATCAAGTCGTCGAGCACCTCCTCGACGGACTTGTCCTCCGACATGTCCTCGAAGCTCTGGTCGAGGTGATCGCGCGAGGCCTGCCAGGGCCCCCAAACCTCTACCTTGACGGACGGCGCGTTCTTCGGCGGCGTTGGGCCCCCGCCGATTGCCGCCTCGACCTTCAGCGGCTTCAGGCCGCTGGCCAGAGACCAGTGCGTCAAGACGCTGGTCAAGTGGTACTCAACCTCGTCCATGATGCTGTTGACGACGAGCTCCATCTTGCAGTCCAAGAAGTCGACGCTCACCTTCCTCGAGCCAGCCATCACCTTCTCGGTCGTCGTGAAGCCCATGCCTTCGAAGATGATTGACTTCATCGCGGCCGCGGTCTCGTTGTCCACGGAGTCGTAGTCGCCCTTGAAGGCCTCGGCTTTCTGGCTGCAGATGGCGGCGACGACGCCAGTGATGCAGCGCTTGATGGTCCCCTTGAACATCGCCTTGCCCAAGCTGCTCATGCTCGCGATCTCGGCGACTCGCCTGCCCTTGCCCCCGAGGTTGGCGTCCTCTCGAAGCAAGCCTTCAACGTCATCGCCTGGCACGAGCAACGCTGCTGCCGAAGCGTTGATGGCCCACCAACGGCAGGAGGCGGTCTTCCTACGCTTGGCTGCGTTGAAGCTCGCCGTGGCACCCTCGTCAACCACTGCGCGGCCCAAAGCCCAGATCGCGGGGGACTTTTCGTGCAGCCGCAGGCGCGCAACGCAGCGACCGAGTTCGAGGCAAAGCTCAATCTGCTCGGCGCTGCTGGTCGCCTTGATCTGGTTCATCGCGTAGATGATGCCCCAAAAAGATCGAGAATTCAAACTGGTGCACTCCTTCAGGAAAGCCGTCATCGGCGCCTTCGTGCGGTTCGCGAGGACATCATCAAGCAACGCATCGATCGCATCCATCAACTGTGGCGGGACGTGCTCCTGAAAAGGCAAACCAAACATGACATCAACTGCACTTGGCGACGTCCAAGCATTTCCATTTGCTTCCAGGGATGTGGGTGAGGACATGTACTTCCTAATGCCTAGATGTATCCTCCTCCACCGTCCTCCGCCAAACCTTCCGAACTCCCACTCCGACGGCAGCCGCGCTCATAGGCGCCACGCGAAACCCACCGACTGCAATTTGCAACCCTACCCCCGCCACTAAGGACATTCAGGGGGGATTCGGGATCACATGTTCCATGGTCTGGAACGCCCCCCATATCTGGATTTGATCCTGGAAGTAAAACTTTACCCAATCCCTTCTGCATCCCCCCCCCCCCCCCCCCCCCCCCCCCCCCCCCCCATCCTCCCTCATCCCTCCGCCTCCCCTAACTCCCCCCAGAATCCTTCTTGCCCACCTCCGTCGGCTCGACGAAGACCGAGTGCTGCGGGGCGTGCAACCGCTTGAGCTCCGTGACCGTGTTGCGGGGGATGTACTTGTCGTCGTCAAGATGGGAGTACAGCGAATCGAGGCGCTTCTCCAACGTCATGGGCGGGTCGCCCTTCTGAAGCACGTAGATGTTGTGGTTCGGGTACGAGCTGAAGTTCCTGTTGATCATCCTACTCACCCGCAGCCTGACGTCTCGGCGACGCCTGGCCGACTTCACGGAGCTCGCTGGCCCATCCGACGAGGCGTTGGCGGAGCGCGACTGAGAGGTCCGCAGCCCCGTGGTGAGCGGCTTCTTGGGCGTCGTGGACCCGCCGATAGTGGGGACCTTCACCATTCTCTTGGTGCCCCTGAACGGCGCCCACTGCTAGCCAACAAACGCTCGAAGCATATAAGGCTGAGGGCCCTCCTCCTGGCCACTGCATCCCTCGCCTCACCCCGCCACGTCCTCCGCCCCATCCCCCCATTTTGCCCCCGTCGCCCTCCCCCTCCCTCCCTCCCGAACTCCCCCATTGGCCCTTGCCTCGAAAACCCCCGCAAAGGCCCTGAAGTTTCGCTGCCGATGCCACCCCCGATGTCCTAAAGCACGGGGGCCCAGACTGTCGGCCTACTGGTTGCCCCCCCCCCCCCCACCACCACCACCGGCAGTGGGCCCCCCCCCTCGCCCCCCCCGCGCTCCGAAACGGGGGCAGCATACGCGCGAGGAGGTTGACGGGGACGGGGTGCGGGGGAGGTGCGGCGGGAGCGGGTGCCCGACACATAGCTGGACACATAGCTCGACACCTAACTCCCCCAGGGAACTGATGCACAGAACTGCCGCACAAATCAAGCGCACAAAACTAAAAAACCTCCTCCCCATCGGGGTGCGCGGCAGGCCTCACGCGCGACCCCGCTCGAACGATCGCTTTGTGTCGACTTTTGTGTCGACCTTTGTGTCGGCCTTCGTGTCAGCGTTTTGCGTGGGGGCCTTTGTGCGAGCTCACCTGCCGCAGGCGTTTCAACTGTCAACTGCCCGTCGCCCGCCGACGCGAGTGGGGGTCGACACATAAGTCGACGCATAAGTCGGGGTCCTATGAGGAATGAGGAGGGTGCGGAAGAGGAGGAGGAGAACGAGTAGCAGCAGCATCGGCAAGAGGAGGTGGATGGAGGACGAGGAGGGCGTAGCAGGGGTGCGGGGGAGACAACTGACCCCGCCCTCTCTCCGCCCCCCTTCGAAAGAATTCAACGTTTCACACTCTCGGGCTGCGCTAACATCTCCCGCAACGCTCCCCAGAGCCTGGGCCAGACGGTGCCGCACTACCTCGCAGCGCCTGGACCTCCCTCACCCTACTGCCCTGGGCCTCAAGTTCCGCGCGGCGGCGGCACTGCGCACGGCCGCGGGCCGATCAGCTGGAACACTTGCGGCAACCGCCGCAACCCAGGGAGGCTCGACGTACTCCGCCACGACCGCATCAGTGAAGTTGTACACTGGGTCGAAGTGCGAGGCGACCCATTTCTAGAAAAAAATCCAGCCTGTACGCAAGCGCCTCCGTCAACCTCTTCGCAGTATCTGAACTACCGAACTCTCTGACGCCAAACGTGAAAGATATCTGACCGAAATACACCTGCATGAACTCTTTGCCCTCCTTACTGGCGGGACTCGATCGCCAACCGTCGACGGCCAAGCCCGTCTTTTCAAATGTCTTCTCGCCTCCTCTGGGAAACACGCGGAACTCAGTGAAGATTGCTGGTGCATGTGCAGCTGCCTCCTCCCTCTCCCTGCGAATCTCCTCGGCTATAGCTGCCCGCTCCTCGTCACTGAGCTCCCTTGCGGGCCCCCCCTCCCCATCGAGGCCGTCGCCGCCGTCATCCTCGTCGCCGCGCTTGCCGCCCACGTCGAACTTGCGATAGTAGTGCTTAAGCAACTCTGGGTACTTCATAAGCTCCTTCACGTCAATGCTCTTGTCGACGGCTGCCGAGTCGCCGCCTGCCGCCCCGGCATTCCCGGCCCTCTGAGCCCAGTCGATCGGCGGCCCCTCGACGTGCTCACTGAAGTGCTGGGGCACGGAATCGGAGAAAGCGCAGCACCCGTGCTCGTACGTCAGCGGCGCCAACACCCAGAGGTCACCATATCCTGCATCGACCTCTCGCTCAGGTAGGTAGCGTAAAGGCCAGAACGTGAACTCGAAGTCGTGGGCGTCCATCTCGACATCCGCAATCTCCAGCCCAGTGAATGGAAACCCTTTGACTAAACGCTCTGCGGGCCGAAGTTCGAGAAAGCGGACGCCGCAAGGCTGGCGCGGGCACGCAGTAACTGCATAAGCACCGCCCTCCCCATGACGGCCGACCAACAACGCAACGTTTCGAAAGTATTCGCGGGCCAAGCATACCTTGCGAACCCATTCCAAGATCGACCCATGGAGGGGGACGTGCCCGTGGGCGTTGCAATCGGGAAGAAGTTGGAGGACTGCCCGACGTCCATCGTGAACATCAACTGGGGGCTGCAGTGCGATACGTCGACGATCAACAATGCGAGCATGGCTGAACTCGTCGACGTTGCTGCTCCATGCTACGTTCAAGCGCTTCCTCTCATCTACTGTGAGTGGGCATCTACCTATGCTAAGCATCCCTGCCTTCTGGCGCTCCTCGCAGTCACCCCTGGTCTTGGCCAAGTGCAGGGCGGACTTCACATGGGCGATCTCCTCATCCAGCTCCTGCGACTTCCCCTCTGCATGCTGTCGCGCACGCAGGCGGTGCACCAGCTTAGTTCTGCGGGAGAGGTTATCGAACATCTTGCTGTGGATCTTCATGATGTGCATAGACTTCTTCTGTTTGGTCTTCCCCGAGGCCCTCAGTCGCACGCCCACTCCTCGCGTCTGCATAAGGTCCGACAAGAAAGCGCCCCTCGCGTTCACCATGTACGGGCGCTTGGATCGCAACTCCCGCAGGGTCGCCAGCAGCCGCCCCTGGGCCGCGTCACGCCCTGCCCCCATCGTGCACGACAGCAAGCCGCAGAACGCCCTCGCCATGAGCTGCTCTGGCCCCAAGCGTTTGTGCTGCTTCTTGATGGCAGCCAAGACACCGTGCTGCTGCTCGGAAAGCTTGATCGAGCACGGTATGTTCTGGGCGAGCTTGCAGGCGTTCACGAGTTGTTCGATTGGCCAGTTCAGTTGAAGAAGCCCCCAGATCTTTAATTCCAAGCCCCCTTCTGGGCGAGGCCTCGCTTTGAAATCCAATAGGTTCTGCCGTATATCTCCGTTCAGAAAACACCAAGGTGCCCCATGGAATGCAGTGAACAAGTTCCTGTGAATGTAGGCTGCGACGCAGTGGACACAATAAAGGACCTCATCGAGAAGAGTAGCATACTCACTGGCATCACCAAGAACATCAGAAGCAAGTCGTTGCCACACATAACCAGATATATTACTTTTGCTAAGGACCTCATCGTATACTGAATTCTCGTACTTCCCAAGATCCTTCCCGACTCTGTCATCCCCCAGGATAAGGCACTCGAGGGCGTCAGCTGGGTGCGAAGCAAGAGCGGTGACGAGGGCGAATCGCCTCTGATGCCAGGCAGCGGGCATGCCCCAACAACTGACCCCAGAGCTCGGTGAACTAAAGCGTTCCCCCCCGGCCTTTCCAACGCCTTCAGGCGCGGGGGGGCGAGGGGGGAACAAGTTAGGCCACGCGATGCAGGCCGACGGAGGAAGGGGGTGGGGCTTACACGGAAATCGTTTCTGGATGGGCTGCCGGCGCACGCGAAGCGTCAAGCTCGAACTCTTCCGACTTCTTAGACCATGCAATTGCGTGGCAGTATTGCCCAAACCATGACAATGAACGCGTTGTGCGTTTGATGCGCGGGGCTGCGATTTATGGTATACCGTGCGACGTGCGACCCATTACTTTTCATACGTGGCCACGCGCGCCTCGCTCAACGCAGCGCGCTGCAACTTGTCAACTGGTGCGCCTAAAATACGACCTGAAGTACAACCTAAAGTACATGGTGCACGTACACTGTGACACGAGTGTTGTTTCAAGCCGTCATATGTGCCCCCCCCCCATACCGAAACGCTCGTTTACGGTCGAAGGCGCATGTCCCCTGCCTCGCCTCAGACGTGGTTTGAAACCGTTGTAACCTTTCAAGTGCCAGTCGGAGCTCGCAGCCACGATTCCGCGAGCGACCAAAAAATCGAGGCCCACCAATATCCCTGCAACGAGAGCTTGACATAGCGGGCCCAATGTAAGCCACCTGGTGTCCGTGTACTGCCTGAAACGAAGTATCGATGCCACTGCCCATCCAACGACCTCTCCAACGTCGTCTCGACCGCGCCAAGATTCACTGATCTCAAGGTTGGAGCCATTCCATCTGATGCGTAACTCCGCTGCGAACTGCGCTACCTCGGGCTCCATCCCCAGAGCAACCCACAGCTCGTAGTGGACATGTTCGTCCGCATCCGCCTTCACCCAAATGATTTTTGCAAACAAGTCTGGCATAGCATCCAAAATGTTTCTGTACGCGTTCCGCAGACTGGCGCACACTATCCACAGATCTGTCACGAACTCCTTTACATTGTCACCGAGTAACCAAGACACACCCCAAGACAAAGCATTGTGACCACAATGAGCCCCGCATTGTATCCGATAGCCCAATCAAGTATGTCTTGAAGAGATTTTTGGCCATCATCCAATCGACGCATATATATTAGCTCTTTGTGTTTCGCCCGAAGTTTCGCCATCATGCCATTGAATACGCCACCATCGAAGCAATATGCACTAACATTCAACTGGTCGGGCCGCACGTCTGCCAAAAATGTGTGCCAAGACTCGCACGCTGCGAACAGATGCCAGTGCTTCTCGTTCGCTATCACCGTCGGCTCTGAAAAACTCGTGATCGTCTCGAAAACCTCATCGCCAGAAAATCGTCGCAGGAAGCTTCGTTGAACCAAATACTTAGTGAGTTTCCCCCCCTCTCTGGCCACGACCTTCCCCGAGCAAGGGTTGCTGAAGCGTTTCCTCCTGACGACCGTCATGGACGTCCCGTCGGACTGCCACACGCACAGCATGGGCCCACCATGGCCGCCAGCAGCGTGGAGAAAGCGTTGTCGCATGAATTCCTCGGGGGAGTGGGGGGGGGATGTCTCTGTGCTCTGCCCCCCTTGGTGTCCCGTGCCGCCCGCTCCCTCCCATCGTTCTCCTGCGCCTCCCCTGTTCACCAACCGTACCCCCGCCCTTTTTTCCAGTCTTTCGTTTCCCCCCCCCCTCTTTTTTATCATATGTGGGTCTTGTTGTTGGGCCCGCCGCGGTCCTTACCGAGTTCGGTGGCCCTCGACGCGTCCCGCGCCTCATGCTTTTGGAAGGTTTTGTTGGCGTCGGCCGCCAACACGACAACCTCCTCGAACGACATGAGGCCAGGCCAGAAGCCCCGTGCAAGCGGGGCCAAATCGTAAGCACGTAAGAGCCCGAAACGCGATGGACCAAACGATAATAGTAAATGGAGGGGGACGATTGTTGAGGGCCTCTTTGCACTGTTGTAAGGTATCTACAGACTTGTGAAGGACCTCGATGTGTTTTCGTGACCTGCCGTGTTGACCCCCTGTGCTTTTGATTTTCAATATACGGTCATAGTTTCCTCCAGGAAGGCGGGGGGGGATGGATGAGGGAGGAGGGCGGGGGATCATTCGAGGGGGGGAGGGGGGATATTTAAGAAAGGACAAGGAGGGGCGAGTTAATCGATAAGGAACAGATTGCGACGATGATGTTTTGATGCGAAACACACAGCACGGCGGTCGGTCGCGCGACCCGACGCGGAAAAAAAAGAAGGAAAAACAACTAGTTCTTGAACAATACATGTGTTCGCTGTGGCCTGCCCGACACGACATGTGTAGCTGTTCAAGTTAATTTACGGATGATCAGATGAAACTTGCCAGCTTCCCCAATGAGGAAAAAGGAACTCAGCCACCGGAAGCGCCAGTCATGGGGAAGTAGGAAGAAGAGGAACTGACGAAGAAAGGAGGAAAGACAAACTCGTTGTTTGGGTATCTCCGATCGCTCTGCCAGCCGTGTACATAAACTCACGCAACGAAGGTGGACACACCGATGGTTCTGCCAGCCATTTCTCGGCTGACATTTATATACGAATACAGCAATACCAATGGGGCAATGGGGGGTCCATGGTCAGCGAACCAGGGAACGTTTAGTACTCTGCGGGATGTGTGACGCCATCTCGCTCAGGAGCGGTGCGCTTGAGACGGGATAGAATGACAGCGACGAAGGGGGAGCCTTGCACGTGCGACGACGGGTGGTGCCATCGCCGTTGCAGCCGTCGACGTGTGTGTGTGTGTGTGTGCTTGTGTATGCGTATCGGGCCCTGGATTCGTATGCTAGTTTCGCTTCGAACGTTGTAATCGCTTGGGCCCTCGGCGCACCGAGCCTGCCATGCGTTCACTTGTGTCTCAACACGAGCAGGCCACTGGGAGCCAGGGGCGCGGGAAGACGGACCGCGCGCGAGAGTTGCCCTACGGTGAATGTATTGGATCAGGGATCTGTGGATGAGGAATCCAGGGTCTGGAAGCTGGTGGAACGCCAATTGGGGCTTGGCCTTGGGTACCACCGCCGCCCTCATAACACAGGGCATCCTTCAGGGTCTGAAGCCTCATGGGCAAATTCCTCAAGCAACGTCCCCACCGTACCTCTCCAGGGGGAGAGCAGCTCTCCGATCGCCAGCGGCGTCGTCGTCGTGGTCGTCGACGTCGGCGGCTTCGTCGTCGTCGTCCTCGTCGTCGGCGTCGTTGTTCTCGTCGTCGTCGGCGTCGTCGTCGTCCTCGTCGTCGGCGTCGTTGTTCTCGTCGTCGTCGTCGGCGGCGTCGGCGGCGCCGCGGGGGGCACCCGCCCCTCGAAGAGGACGGGTGCCCCCCGCGGCGCCCAGGGGAGCGGGGCGCTGCGCCAGCGCGGGGGGCGCCTCGCCTCGTCGGGGACCAGCCTCGGCGCGTCGGCCGCAGGCGGCGGCGGGGGGAAGGAGCGGCGCGCAGAGGAGAGGGCGGTGCCCACACCATCACCATCAGCATCATTATCAGCATCGTCATCATCGTCATCATCATCACCATCATCAGCATCACCATGATCCTCATCCTCATCATCCTCATCCTCATCCTCCTCATCATCATCATCATCATCATCATCATCATCATCAGCATCATCATCATCATCACCATCATCATAAGCATCATCATGATCATGCGAGGGGAATCGAGGGGCGAGGAGGAGGAGGAGGAGGCCTGGCGTCCTGCCGAGGAGGAAGGGGGGAGGACGGAGGAGGCAGGAGGAGGCGGCCGGAGGATGCGGAGGGCGGAGGCAGGACGGAGGAGGACGGCTGGGGGGGAGGCGCGAGGGGGCCAGGGAGGGAGGGAGCGGCAACGAGCGAGGAGGGACGGAGGGGCCAGCGCCGAGGGCGCGGACACTCGGGCCGCTAGCACGCGCGGCGTAGCTCTGCGCAGCGACAAGGGCGAGGTGCCGCCGCGGCTCGCGGCGGCACAGAAACGCCGCCCGCGGCAGCCACGGCCCTCGGAGGATCGCGCACGGAAGCCAGGTACACAGAGTCCTGCTCCTCCTCCACCTCCTCCTCCACCTCCTCCTCCTCCGCCTCCGCCTCCTCCTCCGCCTCTTCCTCCTCCTCCTCCTCCTCCTCCTCCTCCTCCTAGTCGGCATGCCGAAGCTCAGATTCCCGAGCGGCGATGCCCAGCGCACCGCTGCACCTAGCTGACTGCATCGGGACCTGCCCCAGATCACAGGGCAGGAGGGAGAGACCCATGCATGAGTTGTGCTGCGACGTACTGATTACTATTACTTTGACCATCATGAGGGCATGCTACTGCAACCCGCTGGAAGCGAACAGTCGCGAGAGATTGGAGCATATCAGTTGTGAGCAGAAGCCGTGGGACATGGCACTACTAGCAAGAACGGCGCGTTGCAGCAGGGACGAGCCAACCTCGAAGGGCACACTGCCGCACCACTGGGGTCTTGATGATGAGAGGGAGAGACACGGGCGCATCGTAGACGAGTCCTGTGGGATGGCGGCACAGCGCTCTGAGAGCGTCCTGGAACTCTCTGGAACGGATGTAACCTCGTCCTAGCATTAGGTCGGGCGTGTCCCCCTACAGGCGGATTTTGGGCGAGCCATAAAAATGATCAAACAAATATTCAACAATGATCAACAAATGATAGAAAACTTGTCCACAGACTATTCCCCAATCAGTGCTTGCACTGAAGGGGTCCTAGCGGATGTTGAAAGATTTGGCGAAAATTCCCCGCCGATTTTGGTGGCAGGCTGGGTTCCCGGGTTCTCGGGTTCCCAGTTCCGGGTTCCCGGGTTCCCGGGTTCCCGGTTCCAGGTTCCGGGCCGATTTCGGAGGGCGGCGAGGTTCCCGGGTTCCTGGGTTCCTGGGTTCCTGGTCGATCTTCTTATCGATCGGTCTCACCATCGATCTCATTGCCGACTTCTCGATCGATCTCACCATCGATCTCGAAATCGATCTCACTATCAATCTCACAACCAATATCACTAGAGATTGCATGAGCGACCTCGCGATCGATCTCACTATCGATCTCATTGAATCGATTTCACTCTCGGTCTCACGATCGTTCTTACAGTCGTCCTCACTATCGAGTCCACTATCGATCCTTCTATCGATCTCACAATCGATCTCAAGATCCATAGTATCAATTTTCAAGTCATCCACTGGTTGAGGTTTTCTCAGGTGCAATGTTTGACTATTTTTGAATTTTCCCCCTGTAGAGGCACACGCCCGACCTCATCCTAGCCCCGTCCGACTTCTGCGTGCTGGCGGGTGCGGTCAGCAACTGCCGCACAGCGCGTCGGCGGCGGTGGCCCCAGCCCCAGCTGGCACGCTGTGTGCCTCTGCGAGCGGATATCGCGTGTCCGCTCCGCTCCGCGGGGGGCGGATGGGGAGGCCGGGAACCTGGCCCGGGACGTGCACGCCTGGGAACGGCGACGTGGACGGCGTGTCGCGCCGAAGCGTGGCGGGCCAGAGCTGGCGAAGCGACGACGCGCTGAGCCATAGTGCCTGAGTGCGGGGGGGGGGGGAGGGAGGGAGGGAGCGGGGGAGGAGGTGAGGGGTTCGAGGGGTCAGGGGCGTGCGCGAGGCTCGAGGGGCTTCCCGGGAGTTCTGAAGGGGTGTCGAGGAAACGCAAGAGCAAGGCAAGAAGCGGGGAGGAGTCGGATGATCACCACCATCATCATCACCACCACCAAAATCATCGTCATCATCATCATCATCATCATCATCATCATCATCATCATCATCATCATCATCATCATCATCATCGTCATCTTCATCTTCATCATCATCATCATCGTTGTCGTCGGCGTCGTCGTCATTGTCATCGCCATCGCCTTGGTTCTTCTGAAAAAGGCCCTGGAGATTTTTGTGTTTCGGGCCCTTGACAGGCTAAAGAACACGATACAAACAAACAACGTACGTGTTCTACAGCGCTGTGTATTGCGATATTTTTGCGTTCTCAAGCCCGTCGCTGCCGTCTTCGCTCCCACTCTCCTGCTCCAGCCGCCTCTCGCCCCTTCCGCTCCGCGCGCGGAGCGCAAAGCAAAAAACACACACAACAAAAAACCCGAACGCCGGTGTAAAAACAGAGCGGATCAGGCCGGGAGGCCCCACGACGAACCAGCAGCGACGGCCAAAGAAGAGCACAATGAATGTAATACAAGTATGGGGAGGTCTGGGCGCCAGGAGAAGGAACTGAGGACGCGGTAGACAGCAGTGTGGAACAGCGCAATCGACTGTTTTGAAAACGCTGGAAAAACGGAGAGTCACAACCTCAAAACAGAATGAACAGTACTTTTGCCGTTTTAGTTGTCTTCTGGACACCTTGAAACGCTGAAACACTGATGTCCAACACGCGACTTAAAAACGGCAACAAATGCCTAGGGCACACCTAAGAAGAACCAAGGTCATCGTCATCGTCATCGCCATCGTCATGATCATGATGATGATCATCATCATCATCATCATCATCATGATCGTCATTACCATCATCATTATCACCACCATCACCAACACCAACATCATCATCATGAGCATCATCATCAGCATCATCAGCATCACCATCATCACCATCAGTATCATCACCGTCTTCAGTATCAGCATCCTTATCATTATCCTCGCCACCAACACCACGACCAGCATCATTATCAGCATTACCATAATAGTCCTAATCATCAACATCATCATCAACAACATCATCGTCCTCCTTATCCTCGTCCTCCCTGCTCGCCCTCGGTATGATCTCCTCCTCATCCTCATTATCATCATCAGCATCATCATCATCAGCATCATCATCACCAGAACCATCATCAGCATCATCATCCCTCCTCCTCGTACCCCCTCTTCCTCCTTGGCTGCTGCGAAATCGCAACCACCCGACGAACGACGAGTGCTCGTGCTCAGCCACCTCCGCTGCTCGACGTCCCGCAGTTCTCCACCCCCGCCCCGCAAAAAGAGGACGATGGCGGGCCTAGCGAACAGCTCGATCTGCTCCTGCGGCCCAGCATGCCCGGTAACTGCTGGCCCTCCTCCTCCTTCTTGCGCCTCCTTCCCCAACCTCCGATCGATGCGATTTTGTTGTTGCGCCTCCTCCGTCTTGCGCCTCCTCTTTCGTGCGCCTCCTTCCCTAACCTCTTTCCCCAACCTTCTTCCCCAACTTCGCCAACCTCCAACCTTCTTGCGCCTCCTTCCCAACCTCCCCCCCTGCGCCTGGCTTGAGGCTGTTGACAGTTTTTGGCCTCGCCCCAAGGGCGTCCAAGAAGGGGGTGTCCAAGAGGGGGGGGCGCAAATCACCGGCGGCATGTACGCGGCCCCGGGGAGGGCAACTGACGCATTGAAATAAAAAGAGGAGCCATGAAATCTGGGGAGATCTCATGGCCCCTGTCATGATATTCACCCCCCATTAATCATCACCCCCCTCTCGGCCGCCCCCGACAGGACCGTCCAAAAACGACGCGGAACGAAACGCCGGTCCCAGGAGAGGGGTCTAGACCCCGGGGGGCCTGCGGGATGAAAAACAGTGCGTCGGAGATCTAGGTCCTCCTCCTTCTCCTCCTCCTCCTCCTCCTCCTCCTCCTCCGCCTCCCCATCCTCCTCTTCCTCCTCCTCCTCCTCCTCCTGCTGCTCCTCCTCCTCCTCCTCCTGCTGCTCCTGCTCCTCCTCCTCCTCCTGCTCCTCTTCCTCCTCCTCCTCATCATCATCCCCCTCCTCCTCCTTCTCCTCCTCCTCCTCCTCCTCCTCTTCCTCCTCCTCCTCCTCCTCGCCCTTCCTTTCGAACGCGTAATTGATAGTAAAGGGGGAGGACGAGGAGAAGCAGAAGCGCGGCGACAGCGACAAGGATTGTGCGAAGAAGGAACAGTAGGTCACGGTCGGCGGCGGGCCCGGGGGGGGCCTTCTCAGATGGCTCGGAATTCCCCGCCTTCTGACAAGTTTCTGAAGGCTTCTCCGAGGGCACAAACACATTCTGTCTCACAAGGTGCGAGGTCTTCTGAGAAGCCCCGCCGCCTTCTGAGAAGGCACACTCCCTCTCATGTCCCCCCCTCGCTCGCCGCCGACATGGGGTGGGGGGGGCCTCGCGTTCCTCTCTCTTCCCTCCTCCTGCCCCCCCATCCACGCCACTCCCTGCCCTCCCCTCCCCTCCTCTCCCCTCGCGCTCCCCTCCTCTCGCGCTCCCCTCCGCTCACTGCTCCCCCCCCTCTCCACCCCCCGTCTACACTTGCACAACATGAATACTGTTCTCCTCTCTCTCTCTCTCCCGAAGACGCCGGTGGTGAGGTAATCTGGCCTCCTCCTACCAAGGATGTCGCCGAACGAGTTTGAACATGAATATGAGTTTACCCGATCCGACCCCATGCATTATTTCATGAGGCGCTCCCGCTACAACGTTGGCTCCGTTTTCACATTCTGAGTCCTTCCAAATCATGTGCCCGCTGCAACGCTGACGTCATTTCATGGTTTCGGTGCCGTTTTTCCACATCGTGCTCCTGCTGCAGCGTTGGCTTCGGTTCCAAGCGTCCAATCCTTCCAAGGCGCGCTCCCGCTGCAACGCTGGTCTCGATCCCGCGGTTTCGGTCCTTCGACATCGTGCTCCCACTGCAGCGCCGCCCGCTTTCCAAGCCGTCTTTGTGCATGTCCCGTCCTGTGTCGCTTCTGGTTTCCCTTTGACCTTGTTGCGTGAATGAGTCGCGTTCTCGACGCGACGACGCCGGCTCTAGCCGTGCTCTTCTATTCCGTGCTATGCCGCGCTGTACCATGCATCGAATACTCCGTCAGGATCATGGCCCTCGTCGACATCCGACTGCGCGGAAAGATAGAGAGAGAGATATGGAGAGAGAGAGAGAGAGAGAGAGAACGAGCGAGCGAGCCTCAAGTCTGGAGGTGTGTCACTAGCAAACCTAAACGAATGGGGACGGCGGGAGGGTAGGCTGAGTAGCTGATCCTCCTGCGAGACTAGCACCGCGTTGCGGTGCAAGGGGAGCCCAAAGAGCAGCTGTCTGGGTGACAGACACTGGGCTCGAAACGCGAGCTCGCAGCCGACAAAATGACGGCAAGGCTCAAGCGTCACCTCGGGGGGGGGCAAGAACGGGCGGGTGCTGTCTCGGGGCAACCCCGGAACAGGACCCGACCCGCGACCCCACCATGCACTCAGACGAATCTGGGACAATTCCCAAAAACCGGAACAGTGCCGCTGCACCGCGGCGAGGGAAGCAGCGCTGGCATAAGCCAGCAACGCACAAAAAGAAACGAAAGGCAAGGCTCGAGCGCATGAGGTGCGGCACCCTAGTCAGAACTGTCATCATCGCCACGGGCAGGGATGCGCGACGGCGCGGCATCTCTGGAGGGGCCCACGGCGACAGACGGGCGATGCACATCTTCGAGCACGCGCCCCGCGGAGCCGCAGGCAGCCGCACCGGGCCCCCCGGGAGGCCCACGGACAGGCGGATGGGGGCACCTGCAGGGGGCCAGCGAATGAGGGCTCGAGAAGGACCCCGGCCCGGGGTGCAAACCCAGGGCGGCATGCCGCAGCAGGCGCGCGCGTGGCCAAGGTATTCTCGTTCAGAGCCACGCCGCCGCACTGCTGCTTCAATGTCTTGCAGTGCCCATCGGGCAGGACAAGGTAGGTAGCGCAGGCTTGGCAAATCACCGCGCGATCCTGCATGGTGGGCACATGGCCGAAAACCTCAAAAACTTCAAACCCCGACTGCCGGCCCCCATCTTGGCCCACGGACCTCGCGGCCCCATGGGGCCCGCGCGGCCCCAGGTTACTCGCGACGGTGCAGTCGTTGACGGGGGCAGGCTGGGTGGAGAAGGGCGTTGCTTCAGGCTGCAGATGAAAGAACGGGTCAGCCATGCCACTTCTGCGCATGTGAGGGCTGGCACCTCCCGCTGGCTCCGCTGAGCAACCCCTAGAAAATCACGTCGGCAGTGGCAGATATGACGCAGGCGCGGCACCCCTACTCCGACCTCCCAGCGATGAGGAAAAAAAAACCGCGATGCACAACCTGCGGCGATCTGTTCTTCAGCGTCTTGTCAGCGTTCTGTCTCGGCAGCGGCTCCAAGCGGGAGGTTTACGCGCGCGCGATCTGGGCAGCATTCGACGAACAAGCCTCCAAGTGAGCTTGCACTGCTTGGCATGCTGGCGCTCATCATCTACCGCGACCCGGGCACATCGGTGTTCCTGGGCTCCGAGCCCGAAGAAGAAGTAAGAAGTCAGCCCAAGAGTTGCCCGGGCAATTCCAAATGACGACAGTCTGTAGACCCATCGCATCTTCGATCGCGAGGGAGCCTTGACCCACTCGAAAGACGGAGGCGCGCTGCTGGAATGGCGGAACCGAAAAATCTGGCGCCATCTGTCGGCATGGGGGCTCTGGGCGCGGGCGAGGTTAGGGTGCCGCGACCGCCCTTTCCTGACAAAACTCAAACAGTCGCTGAAAATGGCCCCGACTTGGGGGGGCAACTTTGAATGCGTAAGAACCGGCAATCTTCTCGGCAAGAAACGCCGATCCACTCCTAATGTAACAACCATGCGCGGCCCTGACGGGCGGCCCCGACTCGGAAACCTCGACGACGGCCCAGCCACGCCTGCGGAGCTCTGGGCTCGCGTTCGCAAGCCCGATCCGTCGGCGCAGAGCCTGCCGCCCCGCGGCGGGTGAGTTGCCCCTCAGAAGGGGCGCCGTGCAGACGGGAGCGGGCGTCGCGTGCCTGATGGATTGATACGGGATGCCGTAGGTAATCTCTAGCGTGTCCCAGTTTACCCGAGACCTTTGTCCCCGAGGCCTCTCAGAGACCCCCATGCGCCCCAAAAGCTCGGGCCCCGCGGGCCCCAGATCGGGTCTTCTGAGGGCCGCAGGAAGACATCGCAATCAAACAACTGGTGCCCCAGAGCCCCCGGGGCACCAGAGCAAAACAAACAGTTCACAAGTGCCAGACTCGCGGAATCCAGCCAGCTTCTTCCTTTCGGCAGGCTAGGGCAGACCCCGACTGACATCTGGCACAACCTCTGCGAATGGGGCCCTTGATGGCCAGGGTGATATTCCGCTGAGCACGACGCCATACAACTTTCAGATCAGTCTGATCGCCTGGTATACGCATCAAGGTCCTTGTCATCCGCCACTGCCCAATGCCCTCTCGCAGTAGTGCCTTGAACTCAGACGGCGGCGTGACGAGCAGATCCACATCAGCGCAAATGTCTGTCGAGAGCAGGTGGGCCGCCTTCATCGCCCAATCGATGCGATGTAAGGACAGAACAACTGCCGACAATGGTCCGCGACATCTTGACCAAATCCAGTCCTTCTGCGCAATCCTGGTGGTGACAAGCGTCCAGGCGCGTCGCGCCCCTTCGATGGGTGCGACGCGCCCCCCTCGCGAGCGCCGCATCTGGGCAGAGCCCAGGGCCGACCGTGGCGCGGCGCCGCATGCGTGGTAGACGAACCACCGCGGCGCGCGGCGAGGGAACAGCGCTCGGGCATGATTCCCCTGGACGCAAATCGCCGTCGCCCCCAACACGCGCAGCACAGCGCGCCAGGTGTGGGTGGGTGGGAGAAGACTGCAGCGGGCACGCCGTCGTGCAGATAATCGTCGTCGCCTGCGCGGCGTCGCGGCGCGCGCTCGCCCCCGTCGGGCCGCGCGCGCACCTGCGACGAACGCGTGCGCAACGAGGGCACGCGCGCGCGCCCGGACCTGCCCTGCGCGCGCGCCTGCCGAGCGATCCGCGTACACGTGCAGGACGCGCACCGCGCGCGTGTGCCTGCTGGCCGCGCGCGGCCTCCCGCAGCAACCCCCCGAAGGTTTGCCCACGAACAAGCAAGCTTTCGCGTACACCATACCAGGCATGATACTCATAATCGCACGCTTTAGGAGTCGCCAGCGGCATAACATTGAAGTTTACGCAATGGTAAGGGATGGGAGGGAGGGTAGGACGTCAGATATGGCACTTGCGCACCTCATTCGCTTGCCCCCGCATTCTCTCCCCTCCCCCCCTGGCCCCCCCCTTCCCGCCTGATTCCACCCGTCGTCGGCGAGCGAGGGGTGGAAATGAGAAGGAGAAAACCTTATTAGAAGGCGGCGGGGCTCCTCAGAAACCCTTGCGCCTTCTGGAGGGCTTCCCGTGTCTCTGGGGAAGGCTTAGAAAATTCCTGAGAAGGCCAAGGGACTTCCGAGCCTTCTGGGAACCCAGACCCCCGACGTCGTGTTTTTGCTTACAAAAAATAAAACAACAAAAAAACTTCGACCCCCAGAGGCTTGGACCCCTTCCCCAGGACCGGTCTTTCATCCTGAGTCGTCTTTAGGCGGTTCCGAGGCCCGGTGAGGGCCCCCAAAGGCCGAAAATACAGGACAACCTCCCGTCGTGATTTTTGTTCACGAGGGGGTCTGGGAAGGCCCGCCCCTTCGCACTTCCCTCCGAGGGCTCGCCGTCGAAAGCCTTGTCCGAAGCCGACGGCGGCCGCTGCTGCGCAGGCGACTCTTTTTGCTTCCCGTGGGCGACGCCTGCGGCAGCACCGACACAGCGAGTCATGGCTCAGACCAAGGCCGCGCTAACGGCGTGTTTGGTTAACGGTGCGGTTGGGAATATTTCTTGTTGCACCGAGTTCACGAAGCACGACATGTAGCAAATCACGAAAAAGACCATTTCCTAAATTTCAGATATGCAAATGTACCGATCGAAGACGACACAGCGAGTTGTAGGAAAACACGAATCACGCGTTCCTACAAATGGTTCGGCCACGATTCGCACTTTCCTACAATTGGTGATCCTACATCGCCGTTAATTAACACACCGTTAGCGCGTCCACGGTCAGACTGGGCAGGAGCTTGAGGTCGGTCTTTGTCGCCTGCCCGTGCAACTTCCGGCCGCGCCGACCGAACGCAGCCTGGGGCCTCCTCCTGCTCACCCTGAGATCCGACGCCGAACATTCCCAGGAATTCACGACCATTCCCAGACATTCACGAACAGTCGCAGAAATTAGCGAAGATTCCAGAACTTCGCACAGCACAATATCGCAGAAACTCCCGAGCGGAGCCCCGGGCCCCATCCTTCTGCGTCCTTCTGCGAGCTGGATCGGTATGTGAGGGCCCCGGGGTCTGGAACGGGCAAGCTCGCCCGTTGTGGAAAAATTGCAGCGCCAGGATCTCAGGTGTCGGGCGCGCTGCTGAGTTCGTTTTTCGGGTCGTAACTCGGGTCTCCGGCGGCCGTTCGGGATGATCGAGGCACTCCCGGAACGCCCTCGGCGAGGCGCAGCCGCTGGAACGCATCACGAGGCCGGAAAACCACCGACAACCGACGAAAACTTAGGAAAAAGCTCGAACCTCGATGATCGAAACCTCCCCCCCTCGAAATTCCGAGAACCTTGAGCCTCAGACCGAAGACTTGCACTTGTATCGCCGCGGGGGTTACTGAGGGGATGGAGGAGTTGAACCAGGTGCTAAGGTGGGTTCTATTCAGCCTAACCCAGCTTAGAAGTGGGTTGCACGTGCCCTATGTGGCTTGAGGACGCACCGATCTGGGCGAATTTGGCGGATCCCACTTGGCAGAGTGACCTCATCATCCTCAGCCACATATATATGTGTGTATATATATGTGTATACATATATCTACATATCTGTATATATATATGTATATATATATATATATATATATACATATATACATATATATATATATGCATATATGTATGGCACCTGTAACTCGCTTACGAGTTGGGCTCGGCCAGGTCAAACCCACTTCAGCATCCACTTCGAACCCCCCCCATCCACTCAGCAACCACCGCGGCGATCCAAGCAGAGCTTGGGCGCGGCTTAAGGGGGGGTCTTACATGGCGGGGCAGAAGCGGTCCCCTTCCGTGCCCCTTTCGGGCCCCTCCGGAGCCCCAGGGCGCTCGTTTAGGAACCGTTTGGGTACCTTTTTTCGGACCACCCTCGCCACTCCCCAATTCATGACCCCCCCATTAGCGACAAGCGCGCTCCACTACTCGCAAAGTCGCTACTCGCGAATGGCCTGGATCTGCCGCAGGGAATGTACGACAACTTACACCAAGGCAGACGTGTGGTTTTTCGGACGTTTGCGAGTAGGCACTTTGCGAGTAGTGGAACACGCTCGGCGACATTACGCAACGCCCAAATAGCTCGGGGATCTTCTAACCCGGGTCAATCCAAACCCGGGTCAGTCAGGCCTTGCAGGATCCTGCAGGATCCTGCCAGGTCCTGCGCCCCAACCCGGGTCAGTGCGCAGGATCCTGCAGCATCCTGCACCCCAGCCTGGGTCAATGCGACGCTGGCCCTGCAGGATCCTGCAGGATCGGGCGCTCTAGCTGACCCCGTTTGCGCCGAGCCCCGCCTCAAGGCTCCCCAAGAGCGCCCGCTTTGCCGGAGGAAGAGGAGGAGAAGGAGGAGGAGGAGGAGGAGAAGGTGGAGGAGGTGGAGGAGGGGGAGCAGGAGGGGGAGGAGGAGGAGGAGGAGGAGGAGGAGGAGGAGGGGGAGAAGGAGGAGGAGGAGGAGGAGGAGGAGGAGGAGGAGGCCCTGCCGGGCGGCCCCCCGCGCACAGGTGCTGCGCGCGGCGCGGGCCGCTCCCCGGGCGCGCGCAGGGCAGCGGGCGGGCGGGCGGGCGGTCACCGCGCCAGCGTGACGCTGCGCGCGTGGACCTCCTCGGGGCAATGGGACATTTTAAAATAAGAAGAGGCGCCATGGAACCTGGGGAAATATCGTGGCCCACGCCATGATATCCCCCCCCTAGTCATCACCCCCCTCTTTGCCGCCCCCGATTTTTCACGACGCGATGGGGGGGGCAGTCGTTTGTCCTCCCTTCGCGGGGGAGAGCTTCCCCTGGCCGAGGCCCGACGGGGAGGCGCCTCCGCTGCGGGCAAGACTTCTATCCACATCCGGTGCGTTCTTGGAATGGGCGCCACAAGGCCGAGGCGCACTGGATGTGGACAAACATCGAGCACCTGGGGGGCAAAGTTATACAAATCTATCCATATCCAGTGTTCCTCGGGCTTCTGGGAAAGGGAGCCCAGAACTCCATACTGCAGTGGGTACGGACAGAAGTAATTAGGGTGAGGGCACTGGATACGGAGCCATTGGACAAGGAAGCCAGGGACTGAAAGCCGGTGCATAAAACCAATTGAGGTTCGGCCATGGATACGACCGCCGCCCTCCTCAGAGAAGGAACCCTCCAGGGTCCGCTGCCTCCTCGGCACATGCCTTGAAGAGCGCCCCCGCCGTAGTTGAAGGGGCCCAGGGACACACACACACACACACACACACACACATCGATACACAATAAGCAGGATTCCCCACACTTCCCCTCCTGTTCTGGGTTTTTCTGTCTTCCCCCCACTTCCCATATCTCTGCGCACGCCTTCGTGGGAAGCGGCGATCAGCTGTGCCTGTGTGCTGGCTCTGCCTCCCGAGTGGTTGCCCGCTCCCGCGCTCCTCGCGCGCGAACAGCAGGCCGCTCCAGCGGGGCGCCCAGGCCTCGCGCCGGAAGGCGCTCGGCAGCCCGAGCTGGGCCGCGGCGCACTGCGCGGCGAGCCACTGCCTGCGGCGCGGGCGGCCGGCGGGCAGCGGGCGGCCCCGCAGGGTCTGCGGCAAGCTGGGAGCTCGCAGCAGGGTCCGTCGGCTATCGGGGCCTCCCCTGGGACGAGGCTTCAATCGGGCCCGTCCTCCCACAGGGGGATTTTGGACGGAAGCTGAAACATAGCCCAGAAATACCCCAACATGTTCTAACAAGAACTCGAAAAATCCCTCCCAGACTATTTCTGGACCTTTTCTGAATACTCCTCCTGTAGAGGGGCAGGTCCGACTTAAGACGAGGCCAAGGCGAGGATCAAAATCGGGTGAGGAGTCAGCGAGAAGCTGAGATCTGGCGGCTCCCAGGCGCCGCGGCCTTCTCAAAGCGTTCCTGAACGAATTGGGACGGAAGCAGCCTCGTCCCAGCCCCGTCCGGCTCCGAGCCTCGGGATGCTCTCCAGCAGCTGCGCCTCGCCGAGAGAATTCCAGGAATGACCGGATCGTCCCGAGCGGCCGCCGGAGAGCCGAGCTACGACCCGAGAACCAAGCCCCCCTCGCGGCGCGAAGACATCGCGAGGGGAGGTTATTGGCCATGGTGCCATTTTTGTTGAGGAGTCTTGCGAGTTTGCACCGAAGGTGGACGGGAGGGGGGGGGGGGGCCGAGGTCCGAAAAGGAGTCTGAACCTCACGCAAGCCGGGACTCATTTGCACGCCTTCTCGGCCACGCATTGCTGGACCGGGCGGCGGAGAGGGGGGCAGGAGGGGGGGTTACGTCATGCTAGGAGACTCGCCTGAATCAAACAAAATCACGCCCTCTGGCCAGCTGCAGCAGCCATTGCAGCTTTTCGCGACGGACGTCATCGCCTATATAGAGGCCTCCCAAATGGTGTCGGACCAGATGGGATCGGAGGGTCGCGCCGCACCGCCGATACATCGGCGATGCATCGGCGATGCATCGGCGATGGACTGGCGATGCATCGTCGGCGTCGGCGGTGCATCGGCGACGCCGACGTGAAGCAAATCGGGCTGCACATCGAGCCGCATCGATGATGCATCGGCGATGCGGCGCGATCCTCCGACCCCATGTACCCCGACCCCATTCAGGAGGCCTAGACCACTGGAGGCCTCCCAGATGGGGTCGGAGCAGATGGGATCGAGAGATCGCGACGCCATCACACTCTGAGAGTCTCTGCAAAAGGCCGGCTGGCAGCGGCGGTCGCCGCAGCCTGCTGCAGCGGCGGCGAAAGGCCCTGGACCCCCAGGAGGAGGAGGAGGAAGAGGAGAAGGAGGAGGAGGAGGAGGAGGAAAAAGAAGAGGACGACAAGCAGGAGGAGGAGGAGGAGGAGGAGGAGGAGGAGAGGAGGAGGAGGAGGAAGGAGAAGGGGAGGAGGAGGAGGAGGAGGAGGAGGGAGAGGAGGAGGAGGAGGAGGAGGAGGAGGAGGAGGAGGAGGAGGAGGAGGAGGAGGAGGAGGAGGGAGGAGGAGGGGGAGGAGGAGGAGGAGGAGGAGAAGGAGGAGGAGGAGGAGGAGGAGGAGGAGGAGGAGGAAGAGGAGGAGGAGGAGGCGTCGTGGAAAAACCATCGTGGAAAGTTAAACCCAATCTTCAGCCGCGAAGGGCCCTTACCAGGCCTTGGGACGTAACAAAAAACTGTTCCGGATGAAACGCCGGTCCCCAGGAGGAAGGGTCCAGACCACTGGGGGTCCACGCAGCGAAAAAACACAACGTCGGGGGTCTCGGACTGCAGCGGCGGCAGCGGCGACGGCGGCTGTTGCCTGCTGGCCAGCTGCAACACCAGCACGGCCGCCGCATAAAACTGGTCAGTTTGGCGTACCTGGTAGGACACAACACTGCACGAACAGAAGCTTTCGGCACTGCAGCCCTCCTCCCCTTGCGCGCGAAGGCATGTGCGCGGACGAGGGGGGGGCAGGGGACGCATGGAAAGAAGGAGATGGTGCCATGAGATCGGGTGAGATATCATGACCCCAGCCATGATGTCCGCCCATCTATCGCAAGCGCATCCCCCTGAACGCAATTCCATCAATCGGGCATCCAACAAACATCACAATGGCGGCACACATCCTTTCGCAAACGCTCGCGTTACGCACGCGCACCTGGGCTGCGCGCACGACGCCCAAGAATCCGCGACGCGAGATGCCAAACAAAGTGTGACACTAAACGACGAACAAAAAGGTTGCACCACAAGACGAACAAAGTGCGGCACGAACAGACATTCAGCTGTAACAAGAAGTCGATGCGGGGCGATCCGCGGAAAAGAATCTCAAACACGAGGCTGCCCTGCTGCCTTCTTGTCGACGGATGTCCAGGCGAACGCCATGGCGCCCCGATGGGAGGCGACTCGGGGGGAAATGTGACAGCCCCAATATACGTCTATTCGTCGGTCGATGCATGTCGCTGACGATCGTTCCGGTTTCCAGGGGATCCCGCCCGTGACATCTAGTCATCAACACCCGAGGCCGCCCCCGAGGGTCCAGCGCCGACCCAAGAAGTCCGCCCAGAACACCGACGGGTTGTGATTGCGTCGTTCCTTGTGCCCCGAGCGCCGGTATCCCCAGTGTCAGCAAATACCTGGGGGGAACAAAAAGGTACGAACCGATGCCGCTACCCCCTGGACCTCTCCTGGGGTGCGTCCTGACCAAAACTTCGAGGAGAACCCAGAGCTCTCCAGGACGAGCAGTGGTATCGGTGTCTCTTCCTCCTCGAGTGCCTCAGCAGCAGGAGCACCGCGAGGAAGAGCCCCTGGGCCTTCCAGGTCTGCGTGTCGTCGAACACGTGCACCAGCTGCTCGCGGGCGAGAATCACAAATATCAGCGCGATGGGCACCTGCCCGACGGCGACGACCTGCTCGGGGGGCGCGTTGCGGAAAAGGACCACCAACGCCAGGAGGCCGAAGTACACCCCCGTGATGCTGAGGCACAGCCTCGGCCGAGAAAGGGGGAGGAAGGGCCAAGGACCCAGACCCCCTCGCGTCGTGAAGAAAATACGGCGGGAGGTTTGTAACGACTGTCGGCCTGAGGGGGCCCTCGCTGAGCCCCAGGACTGCCAGCAATGTTTCTGCTTCGAACTATACCCACTGAAACCTGCGCCGCTTACTCCCCAGGATGCTATACTCCGTGAGCCAGTGGCTCCTGGATGATATTGTGCTGGTGTCTAATGAGACGCGGTGAAAGGCTGGCTGCTGTATGGGATGGTGGTAAATTATGGTCGCTTGGATTTTGCCCCGGTGCAGCACATGACAATATGTTCTGTCATGTTCTGCTCTGAACGGGCCGGCGTGACGTCGTGACGCACGCCACGCTTGATATTTCGTCTAACCGGTCGTTGCTGCACTGCTACTGTTTGCTTCAGTGGGCAGCGTGGGTTCGTCGCGCACGTCGCGGATGATGGAGCCACATTGCTCAGACCCTGCTGTTTTCTACTCTGTAGCGTCACGTTCGGTTCTGATCTTTTCTGTTCTATACACATACGGCGTGATATGTTCTGCTTTCGACTGGGCGGCGTGACGTCGTGACGCCGATCACGTTAGGTACGTCGACTAATCGGTCGTTCCTGCGCCTGTGTTCGTCCTGTGGCCAGCCTCCGTTTGACAGGGCGCTATTAATCGGTCGCTGCTGTGTTTTTAAAAAATGCAGATATGTTAAATGTCATGGTGCTCTAATCTGTTATGATGTATGATGGCAGGCGAGGCGTCGTGACGCTTGTCAGGTTAGATAAGTCGTCCAATCGGTCGTTCTGCGCCTGTTCTTTCCTGTGGCCAGCCTGACGTCGGCGCGCAGCCCGCGTTTGATTGTATTACGGGACGGTCGATTATCTTTTGATGATCGTATTATGTGGTGATTCGCTCGATTATGTTACCGTATTACATGTTTGCTCAGCTCTGTCCTACGATCAGGTGATGACTTGTTCTGTTATGTTGTGTCTACACCATGCTTCACTACGATATACTACAGTATGTGATGTGATGTTGCGATGGGTGGTGTTCTGATATGTTCTGCCTGGTCTGCTCTGGAAGCGCATGAACTGGTATGCTGTGTTATATAATTGTATGTGACTGCCATGTTATGCTCAGACGATATGCTTTGTTCTGCCATGCTCCTTTCAGCTGTGTTCTGTGTGGTTAGTTTTGCTCTGTCATGCTCACAGGAGCGGGAATCTCGAGGATTCTCTATGGACCTGGGGATCTGACGGCCGCGGTACGTAGGGTGGGCCGGGTCGGAAGGCCTGTTCTTGAAATCTGACGGCCCCTAATTACTTGTGTCGGGTAGGGAACAGTGGCTCCGGAAGGACGGGAACCAGGGGGTCCGCGTCATGACCGAAAGCATGTCGGGGCTCCGACGAAGAGGGGAAGGAGTACCCACGAGGGAGCCGCTCCGGCAAGTGCACGGGGATCTGGGCGCTGCAATTTTTCGCAGCGGATGCTTTCGCCGGTGATGGGAGGACGGACGCGATCTGGGGGGTGCACGGGGATCTGGGCGAGGCACGGGGATGGGAGGATGGACGAGGTCTGGGCGTTGCAGTTTCTTGCACGGCGGATGTTTTCGCCTGGCTTCAGGCCCCAGGGCCATACAGGTCGATCTGGCTCGAGAAACGCAGCAGAGAGAAGGGGCATTTGGGCTCCAGTCGTGAATTTTCTCGCGGTGTTGCATGTTTTTGCAACGTCGGATTCCAGGGGAGGGGGGCCAGGGAAGACGGGAAGGAGCAGGGATCACACGCTTCACGAGAGGAGGCAGAGAACTGGGCCGAACTGGCGCAGATTCAGCGCCGTAGCCGGAGCCGCGCCTGGAAGGGGCCGAAGGCTCGCGTGGAGGACGCCAGTAAAGACACGTCCAGGGGACGCCGAGGACATCTCTTGCTGTGGGTTCCCCTGGCCTCCCACGAAAGAAATCTGAAAATGTCCCATCCCGACCGGAGAATATCGGGGGCGCGCAAACACGGATTAGCGATCCATGGATTTGGCGCGCGGTCGCCAAATCCATGGATCGGGGGATGTGCCCTCTCCAAGATGCGGCCGGTGCCGCCTCGCTCGGCGGCGGAAGTCCAGGATTCCCTATGGAAGCGGGACCCGTCGCTAGTCCACGCACCCTTGATACATGTCTGCGATCGCCTGACCGAGGACGCCGAGGGCATCTCTTGCTGTGGGTTCCCCTGACCTCCCACGGAAGGAGATCCGAAAATGCCCCATCCCGGCCGTAGAATGGCGCAGCACACCAGAGGGCAGTCGCCCAGGGCGGCGCTTGCACTTCGATCCCCCACCCCTTGAGGGCCAACGTGAGGATTAGGTCGGGCATGTCCCCCTACAGGCGGATTTTGGAGGGAAAATGCACATAGTCCAAACATACCCCAAACATAGTCCAAGAACAATAGGAAAATCGTCCCCAGACGATTGTTATTAACTATTTTTGGATAGATTCCTCCGGTAAAGGGACAGGCCCGACTCAACGTTAGGAGGGGAGCAGCTCAGGGGGAGACACATGAAGAGATGCATCAGCGATGCATCTCTTCATGCGTCTCAGCGATGCATCTTTTCATGTATTCTCAGCGATGCATCAGCGATGCATCAGCGATGAAGGGATGCATCAGCGGACTCAGTGAACCTTGCATCAGCGATGCCTCGCCGAAAGAGCAGCGATGGGCCCCGATAGTACATCTGCAGGATCCTGGGCGGGGCACGCCAGCGGCCCAGCGGGACACCGTCGGCGATGAGTGCGAGAGTGGGGGACGAAGCGCTCCCCCCTGAGCCTACGTGCCGATGGTTCGCGTCATGTCGGCCCCGGCGTTGGTTCCTGTCACCGCGGGGATCTCTGAACCTTGAGCGATCGGCCGTTTCCCAAGTGTCAGATCCTTTGGCATCGACCGATTCTGGGTCGCCAGCGGCGTTCAACGTTGAACGCCAGCGGCAGGGTCGCCGCTGGTCGACACGACGCGAACCTACCGTATGCCCCCTCGACGTTGCCCCCTCGTTTGCTGGTCACAGCTCGGCGCTCCGGCGGCCGCTCGGGACGAGCCGGGGGCAACCCCCAAGGCGCTCTCTGCGAGGCGCAACTACTGGAGAGCAGCCCGAGGCATATGTTGCTCCCATCGTACTTGACGACCACATCCCAGAAATAAGTTCGCGCACCCCGAAAAGTATCGAAGCAGTGTCGAAAGAGTATCGCCTCCCAGGGCCCGACACGCGAAAAGCCTCCAGTTTCGGTACTTTCTTGGTGCTCGAATTTTTTTTTGGTGATCAAGGCTATAGTAGGCTGGAACACATATCTTGCTCCCATCGTACTTGACGACCACATCCCAGAAATAATTTCGCGCACCCAGAAAAGTATCGAAGCAGTGTCGAAAGAGTATCGCCTCCCAGGGCCCGACACGCGAAAAGCCTCCAGTGTCGGTACTTTCTTGGTGCTCGAAATTCTTTCTGGTGATCAAGGCTACAGTAGGTTGGAACATCATAACCCGAGGCTGTGAATGCGTCAGGAAACCGACGCCAAACGCCGGAAAAAAACCTCACGTTGCCGTTGACCCCTTGCCATCGCTCGGGCGCCCACTCCCTGTGCATTTCTGGGTTTCGCGCGTGCTTTATTCTTTCGCAGGATGATGGTCCAGGACGCTCCTCGAGGGCCCTCGCCGAAAAAAAAGCACGCACACGTCCGAGCAATGCCAAGAGCCTGTCCGCCCTTCACGTCGCCCCGGAGCCTAAGCCCCCCCCCCTCCCCCGACGTTGCCCCTCGCCCTCCCCCCAGGCGTTCATGGCCGGCAGGCGGGCCCGGGGTTGCGGCGCCATATAATGATCACGGCCATGAGGCTGCACGCGAGCAGCGGCAGCAGCACCAGCGCCAGCAGCCCAGCGCCGACGTCGACGATCGCCTGCTGGGTCTCCTCTGGCGCCCTCTCGATCTCCTGGCCGGGGCCGGGGCCCCGCGTCGCCGTAATCGCTCTCGTCAGCGCCGCTGTCCGACTCCTCCTGCTCCTGCCCCTGCTCATTATCCCCCTCCCCCTTCTCCTCCTCCTCCTCCTCCTCCTCCTCCTCCTCCTCGTCGTTGTCCTCCTCCTCATCCGACACCTCCGCCTTCTCCTCCTCGCCATGCTCCACCTGGGAGGAGGAGGAGGAGGAGGAGGAGGAGGAGGAGGCGGAGGAGGAGGAGGAGTAGGAGTAGGGGGAGGAGGAGGAGGAGGAGGAGGAGGAAGAGGAGGAAGAGGAGGAAGGACAGCGAAGACGATGACGAGAACGACCAGGACAACGAGTTTAATGAGGAGAGGGATGAGAAGACGAGCGTGGAAGAAAGAGGAAGAAGGGTCCGAAGGAGGGGGGGCGAAGGTGACGAAGGGGAAGTCGGGGGGAGACGCGGAGGAGAAGGCGGAGGAGAACAAGGAGCGGGAGCGGACGGGCGGGGACGGGGGGGGGGAAGGGGAGGAAGAGAGGGAGGCAGAGGGGTATGGGGGAGCCTGGGAGAAGGCCAACGGCAGGAGAGAGGAAGGGGGGGAGGCAGCGGGAGAAGCCGGGAGGGGGACACGCGCGGGGAGGTGAAGAAAATGGCACCAGAGAAGGAAACGGATCACGGTCATGAGAAGGCGAAGGTGAAGGCGAGGTTGCAGACGAGCGGTAAAGGGAAACTATATAGAGAGAGAGAGAGAGAGCGAGGAGGAGGAGGACACTTCGAAGGCGACCTGCATGTGCTCTCCTGTTTCACTCCTGGGCCTGGCAGAGAAGAAGGGAGGAGGAGGAGGAGGAGGAGGAGGAGGAGGAGGAGGAGGAGGAGGAGGAGAAGGAGGAGGAGGAGGAGGAGGAGGGGGAGAATAGCAAGGGAAGGCTGACGACAAGGATGACAGCCAGGCGAGGCACAGGAGGAGGCAACGAACGGTAAGACAAGGACGGGGGGAAGAGGCTCAACATTGAAGAATAACAAACTGCATGAACAAAACATGGGCCTGGGCCTGGCAAAGAAGAAGGGAGGAGGAGGAGGAAGAGGAGGAGAAGGAGGAGGAGGAGGAGGAGGAGGAGGAGGGGGAGAATAGTAAGGGAAGGCTGACGACAAGGCTGACGACAAGGGTGTAAGACAAGGATGGGGGAAGAGGGTGTAAGACAAGGTCCCCGCGGATTTCTTGGACCGGAGCTGGATCCACGTCCCCCCCTGGCGAGCGGAGCGCGGAGCGCGCGCTGTCAGGGGCGCCGCCCGAAGGGCCCCGCACAGACTCGAGAGATCCGATCCGCGTCCACCTCTGAAAGCTTGTTGTTGCGACTGCGCCTTTTTCGAGATAAAGGGGGAGGATGGCGAGGATGGCGCGGAGGAGGAGGAGGAGGAGGAGGAGGAGGAGGAGGAGGAGGGAGGAGCAGGAGAAGCAGGAGGGGAGGAGGAGGATGAGGAGGAGGAGGAGCAGGAGAAGCAGGAGGGGAGGAGGAGGAGGAGGAGGAGGAGGAGGAGGAGGAGGTGGAGAACGTTGAGCAGGATCATCAGGCCCCCGGGGCGGCCGCCCCCCCCCCTCCCCCTGGTGTCCCTGGTGATGCGCCAGCGGCTGGGGTCCAGCTGCAGCAGCTGGGGCCAGAGCCAGAAGTCCACCACCACCACGTAGTACGTTAGAAGAAGAACAAACCAAAGTAACATAAACTTCTGGCGTTCCGCGCATATTTCTTGGATCCGCGCCTGGGCCCCCCGGCGGCGCCTCCGGCGCCGCCCCTGGCGCGCTCCCTGACGCGCTCCGCGCGCCAGGGAGGGGGGTCCAGCGCGAATCCAAGAAATCCCCGCGGAGCGCCAACAGTTTTTGTTTGTGTGTTGTTTGTTCTCCTTCTGTACGTGGAGAAGTGCACCAGCCAGCCTGGGGAATCTCTGCCAGGCAAGAGCCGCACACCTCTGGCGTCTGGGCGTCGCCCTCGCTTCGGCACGCCCCTCGCGCGGTCTGCAGCCCCACGGGGAGCTCAACCTGAGGGCCCACCTGCGCAGCCTGCATGTGGGCGCCACCCCCGCTCTGGCACGCCACTCGGACGTTTCGTTTCGTGGCCCCATGAGAGGCTCTGCCTGAGGCCCCGGTGGCAGCGCCTGTATGCCGGCCCCGCCCCATGTCGGCACACCCTTTACACGCTTCGTGGCCACATAATGAGATCCACCGAAGGAGATACCCACAAAGGCAGTAGTTACTAACATCTGCACATGGTTGGGTCCTTCGCCCGGATAACTTGTTTTGGGGGTAGGGAGGTTTTCCCCCTCAGACGCCCCCAAGACCTCCCTCAGGGAGGCGTGGGAAGGTTCGTTAGCCCCCCCAGACTCCCCCAAAAACTTCCTCAGGAATGATTGGGTTGGTTAGGAACATCTTCCTCTCCGAACCCCCAAGAAAGCCTCGACGCCTCTGGGAGCCTCGGAACGCTTCGAGTACGCTTGCGGCGGGGCCTCGTATAGCAACGGATGGTGCACAGCACAGGGGCACGTCTAGCACCAGGGATGTTTTTAAAATTGGCTTGGGGAGGGGTCACGTCTAGCAGCGGGCGATGCGCAGCAGAGGGGCACGTCTTATACCAAGGATGGTTTTTGAAACAGCTTGGGAAGGAGCCTCATCTGGCAGCGGGTGGCGCGCAGCAGAGGGTCACGTCTACCACCAGTGAGGCTACAATCTTCAACTTGGGGAGGAGCCGCGTCTAGCAGCGGGCGGTGCACAGCAGAGGGGCGCGTCTAGCACCAAGAACTCGTCCTTAATCAACTGTGTGAGCGGCCTTATCTAGAAATGGCCGGTGCACAGCTGAAGGACGCGTCTAGCACCAAGGATGTGTTACATCAGCTTTAGGAGGGGCCTCGTCTAGCAGCGGGCGGTGCACAGCGGAGGGGCATGTCTTGTACCAAGGATGTTGGTTTTAACAGCTTGGGGAGGGACTTTGTCTAGCAGCGGCTGGCGTACGGCACAGGGGCACGTCTAGTACCAAGGGCGTTTGTGTTTAACAGCTTGGGGAGGGGTCTCGTCTAGCAGAGGTTGGCGCGCAGCAGAAGGGCACGTCTAGCACCAAGGATGCTTCTTGAACCAGCTTGGGACCCTCGTCGAGCAGCGGGTGATGCACAGCAGCGGGGCACGTCTAGTACCCAGGATGTTTCCTCCATCAACTTGGGGAGGTGCCTTCTGCAGAAGCGGGCGATGCACAGACAAAGGGGCACGTCTAGCACCAAAGATAAAGGTACTTCGGGGGATGCCCAGGGTGGAACATCTATGTTTTGGAAGGTGTGCGTGGCGGGGGGGGGGGCGGGGGAAGCCCCAAAACCCCTAACAAGAAACACCTGAGAGGGGGGTTGGGCGGGGGGGGCCCGAGGGGAAGCCCCCTCTATCCCTCAATGGGGGAAGTCGTGTTTGTTTGTTCCGAAGGGAGAGTTGGGGAACTGCCACCCCCTACTGCAACGTTGAGTGCGTCATCCCGCCGGATGAGGTGAGGCTGCGGTTCCTTAACGCCCGGCGGCTCTATATTTCCGAAACGTGGGCCCCGGGACTTCTCAACCTCTTGCTCTGGGCCAGCGCTTCCTCCCGAGTCGCTCTTTGACGCCCGCGGGGCCCGAAACGTGGCTCTCAACTGCGGGAGACTGGGCGCCTCGACCTTCCCGGCCGAGGCACCAAGTGCTGGGGGGCTGCGGTGCGCCCGGGCAGCCGTGGAAGTCCGTCTCTATGAGCAGCTGGGCGCTGGGCCACCAGCAGGGCTCCGCGGCCACGGCAAGGAATCCGAGCAGGAACCACAGGGCCTGTCCCACTGAGGATGATGCGGATGATGCTGGTGATGATGGTGCGGATAATGCTGGTGGTGGTGATGATGGTGGTGATGATGGTGGTGATGATGGTGGTGATGATGGTGGTGATGATGGTGGTGATGATGAGGATGTGGACGATGGTGATGATGAGGAGGATGGGGAACATGACGATAATGATGGTGATGATTGGCAATGATGATGCTGATGATGATGGTGATGGTGATGATGAAGATTGGGATGATGATGTTAATGGTGGTGGTGGTGATGCTGATGATGATGAGGAGGATGACGATGAAGATGCTGATGATGATGCGGATGAAGAGTATGAACACGAAGATGATGATGCGGATGAAGGTGGTGGTGTTTTTTTCAGCCCCCGCTGCTCCCAGCGTTTTGTGTTTGTCTGACCTCGCTCCATGCTGCTTGGATGGCGGGGTGCCGTCTCGAATGGAGACGAAGCCTTGCATGAAAAGCTTGCTGGGCAGTCGCTCTGCTGCCCAGCCACACACTGGTGTGCGCGTGAACAAAATCATCACAACAACTCGCGTAACGGAGAAGGGCAGCAGGAGAGGGGTAATTAGGGAGCAGTGAGTGAGATTTCCGAGAACCAATCGCCATCCATGTCTGTGAGGCGCGGGCCAATGTGGGAGATCAACAGATAGTACAGATTCGGGCAAGATCTGTAGTGCTTCAAAACGTCGAGGTCGCACCGCTGTCAGGACGAGCACATCCGAGCACACATCCACGAGGAGCACAGTGAAACCGAGAGGTAGTGTATATAGCACGACACACAATACGAAGAATCGCGACACCAATGTACGCTTGGGATTTCTCGACAGCATAGCTAATCGATGCATGAGCTGCTCAACATGTACGGGTGTGATGTCAGCGCGCCATGCACGCAGCCTTTGCAACAGGCCAGGCTGCCGGCAGTGCTCGAGCGGGGTCGGGATCGCAAGCTTCAACTGCGTATAGAACATCTGCTGGATCCCTTTCTTATCTATGTCAGGCGGCAGCATGTCGACGACAGAGGCATAAACAGTGGGAGTATGATGAAGATGATGATGATTATGATGATGATGATGGTGATGATGATGATCATGATGATGATGATGATGATGCTGCTGATGATGATGATGATGATGCTGATGCTGATGCTGATGCTGATGCTGATGCTGCTGCTGCTGATGACGATGACGATGACGATGACGATGATGATGATGATGATGATGATGATGATGATGATGATGATGATGATGATGATGATGATGATGATGATGATGGGCGCTTTCCCGCCTCCTCGCCGTCGTCCTCTGGACACTGCGCTGGGTGCGTTACCTCAGGCGCGACCGCTGGATCAGTCCGCATCGGCTCGGAAACCAGATCGGATCGACGTGTGCGTCAGGTCGGGCTGCATCGCCACGGAGTCGAGACCCAATCGGATCGGCTGCGCTAGGAAACGCAGACACGCCACGCAAGCATCGGGCCGCATCGGATCGTCGGAATGTCAGAATCGATGGACGACATCGATCTCTCATCGAATCGATGGGATCGGAATGGACCCTGAACCTGAGCGCAAACCTGTGGCCTCTGCTGGGCCCTCCTGTACCTCTGTCGAAGCCTTTGAGGTTCCAAAATGGGTGCCCAGGAGCGGTGGCCAATCGGCGGCAGGCCTCAAGAGGGGCGAAACACAACCACAAGAGGCCCAAGATCATCTGGACGTGGCCCAAGATGGCCCGCGACAGCCCACAAGAGGCCCCTCCGAGGCCAAGATCCTTTCAAACACCTGCAACGGTTTTTCACTAGTGTGGCATTCTCGACCTTTCCCTCCTGATGGACATTTGGAGCTTCAAGATGGCTCGGAGATCGATCAAGACAGCCTCACGTGAGGCCCAGGGCTGCAGGAGGGCCCGGGTGACCCCAAAGAACGCTCCATCACCCACCTGTGGGTTACTCGCGTCGTCGTAGCGGGGTCGTGGTCGTGGTCGCCGTCCTCGTCGTCGTTGGGCGGGCAAAGAAATACCCGCACCTCTATTCCTCGGACCGCGGCTGGGGCGCTTCCTGACCAAGATCCCGCGACGAATCCAGCTGTGGCGACGAGACCCTCCCAGACCTCCAAGGTCTTGATTTTTCGACTACGGGATCCAAGAGCCCTGGACTGCCAAGGGGTCCGGTTTGTCGCCCCGGACAGCGGCTGCACGGTCTTGATGCTTGTCCATAGTTACGCTGGTAGTGCGGGCTCCACGAGGGGGCAGGGGTATCCGAGGAGGCATGCCTGAAACGAGGTGCCACCAGCTCGAGAGAGGGTGGGACAGGCACCGCCCTAGCTGGTGGTAGTGGTACTTTTGTCTCTGGTGAGCATCGGTATCTTCTCCTCTACCGTCTCCTCCTCCTCGTCGCGGCCGCCGCCGCCGCGTACCCTTCAGATCCGACGTTGCAGCCACAAAAGACTACAGCACCGGACAAAGGTCACGACCGGGGCCCCAGACCCCATGTTTCTGCGCCAGTGTCCACGCCGGATCCGTATGTAAAAGAGCCCCGTGGCCCGAGACTGAGCGAAAAAAATACCCGCTGCGCAGCCGCAGCCGATGCGCAAGACGCAACCCGTAGCGTGTTGGCACGAACCTCGACACGCACACAGATCTGGCGCGCTACGTTCGCCGGAACGCCGGTCACCATGTGCCGAGCCAACACGCAGCGTGTTGACAAAAACGTCTTGACCGTCACGCGTTGCGTTTCCGCACGGGCGTAGCAGGGCAGCGGACGACCGTTGTGGCAAGCAGGCGGCCCATACCCCTGCGTCGTGATCTTTCCTTCTGCCGAGGTCTGGACCCCTTCCCCGAGACCAGTGTTTCGTTCCGAGTCGTTTTTGTTGACGCTCCCGAGGCCAGGCAAGGGCCCCCTGCGGCCGAAAATCACCCAAAAACCTCCCGTCGTGGTGTCTCCACCACGCGAGGGGGTCTGGGAACGTCGTCGTCGTCGTCGTCGTCGTCGTCGTCGTCATCGTCGTCGTCGTCGTCGCGCGGCCTTCCGGGCGGCCGCACCCGCGAGGTCGAACGCGCACTGCGCGGCCAGCGCGAGCGCGGCGGTCCACAGGGGCTCCTCTTCGGGCGCCCCAGGGTTTAGGTCGGGCATGTCCTCCTACAAGCGGATTTGGGGCGAAAAATGCAATTACCCAAAACAAATACCACAAAACAAAATTGTCGAAACATCGCCCCCCCCCCCATACTATTCAACAGCCGTCGTGTGGTGTTGGGTCCTCGGTTTGAAGAGACGGTGCCCCGCGTTCCTCCTCCTCCTCTTCCTCGTCTCCTCCTCCCTCCTCCCTGCGCCTCCCTCCTCTCCTCCCCCTCTTTGCCTTTGCATTCCGCATGTTTCTCTGTCGGCACACCCCTTACGCGTTGCGTGGCCCCATAGGGAGCTCCAACTACGGTCCCAGTGGTGGAACTCGCACGCGGTCCCCGCACCCATTTTGGGACACCCTCTACACGCTTCGTGATCCCATAGGAAGCTCCACATAAGGTCCCAGTGGCGGAATTCGCATGCGGTCCCCGCGCCCATTTTGGCACACCCCTCACGCGCTTCGTGGCCCCATGGGGAGGTCCAACTACGGTCCCAGAGCCGGAATTCGCATGCGGTCCCCGCGCCCCATTTGGCACACCCCTCACACGCTCCGTGGCCCCACTGGGAGGCCCACTTACGATTTCAGCGGCGGAAGTCGCATGGCAGCCTCGGGCCAATTCGGCACACCCCCTAACACGTTCCGGGGCCCCACAGGGAGCTCCACATAAGGTCCCAGTGGCGGAACTCGCGCGGCAGCTTCGGGCAATTCCGGCACACCCCTCACACGTTTCGTGGCTCTGGCGGAACTCGCATGGCGGCCTCGGGCCATTTCGGCACACCCCACCACGAGGATCCTGGCCGCATAGGGAATTCCACCGAAAGCCCCAATGGCAGGGTTCGCATGGCATCCTCGGGCGATTTCGGGACACCCCCTCACGAGGATCGTGGCCCAGCTCCACCGACGGCGCCAAGAGCAGGGTTCGCGTGGCGGCCTCGGGCCATGTCGGCACACCCCTCACGAGGATCGTGGCCCCGCGGGGAGCTCCACCGAAGGTGCCAGGTGGCAGGGTTCGCACGGCGGCCTCGGGCCATTGCGGCGCACCCCTGACGAAGATCGCGACCTCACAGGAGTTCCACCGAAGGTGCCAGTGGCAGGGTTCGCACGGCTGCCTCGGGCCATTTCGGCACACACCCCATCACGAGGATCGTGGCCGCATATGGAGCTCCACCGAAGGCCCCAGCGGCAGGGTTCGCATAGCGGCCTCGGGCCATTTCGGCACACCCCTCACGAGGATCGTGGCCCCATAGGAGCTCCACCCAAGGCGCCAGTGGCAGCTTCCCTCACGGCTCTCAGAGCCCTCTCCTGCTTCTGCTCCTCGGTCAGGGGGGCGCCGTCGTCGTCGTCGCCGGCGCCCGCGAAGACGGCCGCGAACGTGTCCCTGAGCATGTCGGGCTCCCGCGGGAAGCCATGGCCACATAGGGAGCGTGGGCGAAGATGGTAATCACAATTGCGGTATTCACAACTGCGTATGGTTGGGTCTCTCGCCAAACTAATTTTTGAGTATGTTTGAATAAACCTCCTGTAGAGAGACAGGCCCGACTTACCCCAAGGCCGAGGTTGGCCGATGGGAGCACAGCGCCCCAGGCCGGGAGGCCAAGGGGGGCAGCATGCAGGTCCCGTGGGCCGCCTTCTTGCTGGCCTCGCGGGGCCTGGTGGGATTGGGTCGGGCATTTCCCCCTTCTCCAAATCCCTTACTAATCGTTCCCAGGGTCCAGTTTTTTTAAAAAGCGCCTGTTTTGTAGCTGGGGGGGGTCGGTTTACTAGGGCGTGTTCTTTGGATTGGAGCTTTTAGGGGGTCCGGTTTTTCAAGGCGCCCCTTCAAAGAGAGGGGTCCAGATTATAATATTAAGTCGCATTTGAAGGGGGGTCCGGTTTCGAGGGGGAGGGTCGATTAATAAGGGATTTGAACTACAGCGCCCCAGGCCGGGCGGCCGCATGAGGGCAGCATGCAAGTCGCGGGCCTCCCTCTTGCGGGCCCGACGGGGCCCGGCGGGGCACGGTGGGAGTAGGTCGGGCATGTCCCCCTGCAGACCGATCTTGGAAAAAAATATCCTGCCGAAGGACCCAACCATACGCCAGCGTGAGAACCACGGGCAGGTGGGACGAAGCAAAAGGAATTCCCAAGGGGGCCACGAGACGTGTGAGGGGTGCGCCAAAATGGCGCGGGGCCGCCATGCGAACCCTGCCAGTGGGGCCTTCGGTGAAGCTCCCATTGGGCTACGAGCCGTGCGAGGGATGCGCCACAATGGGGCGGGGCGGCCACGCGAACCCTGCCATTGGGGCTTTCGGTGGGGCTCCTTGTGGGGCCACGAACCGTGTGAGGGGTGCACCCAAATGGCGCGGGGCCGTCATGCGAACCCTGCCACTGGGGCCTTCGGTGGAACCCCCATGTGGGACCACGAACCGTGTGAAGGGTGCGCCAAAATGGCGCGGGGCCGGCATGCGAACCCTGCCACTGGGGCCTTCGGTGGAGCTCCCAATCGGGCCACGAACCGTGTAAGGGATGCGCCAAAATGGCACGGGGCCGCCATGCGAACCCTGCCACTGGGGCCTTCGGTGGAGCCCTTTTATGGGGCCACGAACCGCGCGATTGGCGCGCCGAAATGCGAGGCCGGCATGCGAACCCTGCCACTGGGGCCTTCGGTGGAGGTCCCTGTGGGGGCCACGAACCGTGTGAGGGATGCGCCAAAATGGCACGGGGTCGCCATGCGAACCCTGCCGCCGGGGCCTTCGGTGGAGCTCCGTATGGGACCACGAAGCGCGTGAGGGGTGCACCAAAACGCGGGGCCGCCATGCGAACCCTGCCACTAGGGCCTTCGGTGGAGCTCCCTATGGGGCCACGCAGCACTGTACTGGGTGGGTGAAACGCAGGGAGGAGGGGGGGGATGGAGGAGGGGGAGGAGGAAAAGGAGGAGAACGCGGGGACCGATACTCCAAAACGAGGACCCAACACCACAGGATGGTTGGGGGAAAAAATATCAAAGTGATCCCGGCGAAAGACCCAACCATATGCAGTTGTGGGCACTGCAATTGTGAATGTCTTCTTCGGTGAAGCTCCCTGTGGGGCCACGAAGCGCTGCACTGGGTGGGGGGGAACGCATGCGGGCGGTAGCAGTGAGGCCGTCGGTGGACCTCCCTATGGGGCCACGAAGCGCTGCGGTGGGTGGGTGAAAATGCCAAATTGGGTGTGGGACGCACGCGGACGGTCCCACTGGGGGTTTCGGTGGAGCTGCTCATGAGGCCACGACGCGCTGTACTGAGTGGGTCAAACTGCCAAATTGAGTTTCCGACGCGCATGCGGACGGTCTGGTCCCACTGGGGGCTTGGGTGGAGCTCTCTGGAGGGCAACGAAACGCTGTCTTGAGTGGGTGAAACTGCCAAATTGGATGTGTGGGACGCATGTGGGCGGACCTACTGGGGCTTCGGTGGGGATCCGAATGAGGCCACGAAGCGCTGCAGAGGGTGGGTGAGAATGCCAAATTGGGTGCGCGGGGAGGAGGCGGAGGAGGAGGAGGAGGAGGAGGAGGAGCTGGAGGAGGAGCAGGAGGACGAGCACGAGGAGGAGTATTTGTGTTATATATATACATATATGTATATACATATATATACACATCAAAAAAGGGCTCCGCATATCCTCAAAGTGGCGGTCGGTCGCGTGCCCTTTGAATATGACCCAGTGGCAGAATTCTTCTGAGACGGACGACGAGTGCCGCACGCCTTTGGCGCGGAACCAGGTCCCGAAGAGAACGAGCACCGAGCCAACGGTGAAATGAAAAATCAAGCCGCGCACGTTGTGGATTTCCCACAACACGTCGCGCCGGCGAGACGGGAGCTGGATGGTAGCCACCCCGAACAGCACCGCGACGAAGCGTTCTGGGCAGCCAAAGTGGAAGAGCAGGTGACGTGGACAAGAACGCCCAACTAAACAGTGCACAAAAAAAACGGGAGGAGGGGGAATAGAAGGAGGAGGGAAGAAGGATAGAGGACAGCACGATCACAGCCAACAGGCTCCACGTGCGAGGAAACAAATCGAGCACAGAGACAGGCCTGCAGCAACGAGAGTTGCACCCTGTACAGGAAACGCTACACATTGGCATCAATCAGATGGGGGCGCCAAGGCGCCCTGGAGTGGCCGATAGTCCCAAGGGGCGGCAGCCAGCCAAGCACGCCGCCTTGGGAAAGGGGCGGGGTCGGGTGGCTGCGGCCGCGTGGGGGCCTACGAGCCACGCAAAGTATAACAAAGAACGGACGCCTAACATGCACGAGGAAAGCGGAAAGGAGAAGGAAAGTGAGGCAGCGACGCGTACATACTGCCGCCAGCGGCCGACCTCAGAAGGCGAGGCCGATGGTCGTGAGCGTGATGTCCCAGTGAGTGGCCCCACCACCCCCCCATAAGACGGGAGTCGGCGAGCTGGTCGGTGCTGGAGTCGGCGCCCTGGTCGGCACCGGAGTTGGTGAACTGGTCGACGCTGTGGTCGGCGTGGTCGGGGCGGGAGCCGGTGAGCTGAGCGATGCTGGAGTCGGTGACCTGGTCGGCGAGGGAGCCAGCGAGCTGGTCGGCGCGTCAGTCGCCTCTGGATAGCGCCTTCGAGAGCTGTTCCGTGCGGGGGTCGGCGATTTGGTCGGCGCGGGAGTCGGCGAGCTGGCCGGTGCTGGAGACGGTGGGCGGGTCGGCGCGGCAGTCGGCGAGCTGGTCCGTGCGGGAGTCGGCGTGCTTGTCTGCGCCGGCTTCGGCGATCTGGTCGGCACGGGAGTCGGCGAGCAGGACCGCGCAGGGGTCGGTGAGCTGGGCAGTGCGGGGGACTGCGAGCTGGTCGGCAAGGGAATCGGCGAGCCTCTCGGTGCGGGAATCGGCGAGCTGGTCGGCGATGGAGTCGGCGAGTTGGTGTGCGCGGGAGTCGGCGAGCTGGACGGCGCGGGAGTCGGCGATCTGGTCGGCGCGGGTGTCGGCGAGCTGGTCCGTTCGGGAGGAGTCGGT